GCAATATCAAAATCTATTAAAGTAACAGTTTACAGAGCCAATAGACCGGTAATAATGTATGCTTTGGCTAATTCAGTAAATGAATTCAACAAATACTGACCTACTGACCATACTCAAATCAAGGTTAATGCAAAATTCATGTACAAATCCAAGATTACCATTAATTCAACCTGCTCACTGAGAAACATTACCTACATCAGCCTAACAGATTCAGAGATGTTAAAGGGAGCTACCACGGTGTGTATTTTCACATCTTGCCCAACTCTTGCGACTGTAGTGCATTTCTATGTGTTGTGGATCTACTCTCATCACCCAGAACTAATGATAATGTCACATGTAAAGAGGTAAAAGGATGTTAGATGTTCACTTTAAAGTAGCTAGCAAAAACTGACAATACAACCTCAATGCATCACTAATGTTAAACTCTCTCTCTCTCTCTCTCTCTCTCTCTCTCTGAAAAATGCTAAATGACCAAATCCATAAAGGAGGAGCAGCATAACTCCAACCCTACATTCTTCACAGGAGTGTATCAGAAAACTGCAGCGGTTAATGAAGAGACCTATGCTTGATGTAGTTGAACCCTGACACTGTCTGTTCACATGAACTCCACACGCAAGGCCACAGACTAAGCTGCTTCATCGTAGACAGCAGAGGCACTATCGCATAGCCCACGAAGGATATCATTCAAAACACACACACACACACACACACACACACACACGTCAGTGAGGAATCTAGTGTGGTTGTTCGTACCAGGCGCACAAACACACACACTCAGTGACGGTTAAATGAGGGATGCGTTTGAAAGTGCGTCTAATGAAAAGTGAAAGATGTGTGTGTGTGATGAGTTTTTTTTTATTGTTCTTATAATATTTAATGTAACTGGTTATGTAACATGCTTCCCTCTGACTTCACGTGATACCTTACAGCTACTCTCTGAGATACACACACACCCTTTGTCTTAATATTCCTAATGTGTCACATTATTGTAAATAACTAGGGTTGGTTTCCAATAACCGGTTATATTTTGCAATCTGTTCCAAGTTCTTAAATTACCTAATTTTGAAGCTCTGACTCTAATGAACCTCTTATTGAATCTTTTATCTCCTCTCTTTTCTTAATTAGAAAAGCACAACTTACCAGACATTTAGGTAGTGTCCTTTAACATTTTCCTTTAACAACGTTTTCTGTACAGGGTTTCTATGCTTTTTATAGTGGAGGCAGCGTGCTTTGCTTTAAAGAAAGAGTGCCCCTGTAGGTACCAGATGTGGTGATTGGCTGTATGTCGTAGTGTTTACGGATACTAGTTTTTGGTGAATTACTGTTACGACGGTAATGTTGGCTGCCAATCCACTGCCAATTTGTCTGTACATTTTTTCCATATTGCCAAATGTGAAATAAAAGCAAAAATATTTACCGATAAATAAAGACCCCGAGCAGATCTGATACCAACATTTATAAATGGGGCACTATGTAGTTTGTCCGAGTAGCTTAAATTAGCTACCGTTAGATTAACTTGATCGGCAGCTAACATTAGCGTTGTAACATTAACAGAACGAATCGTGGCTTTCTGCTCTCAGGGCTTTTACAGCTATTGTCAGGCTGTGTTAAGTCCTGTTTAATAAGCAGAGCTGTATTTCATTGTATAAGTTCTCCCAGAGCTGTTAAATAACTTAAATACGATTATTTAACTGCTCTGGGGTCTCCATAGTTGATCCGAGGACCCGTTAAAACTATATCCGTAAACACGCCAACGTACAGCCAATCACAAACTGCCACGTCATCATGTTATGTGACGTTACCAACAGGCGGAGGCCCCCGAGCAGATCTGACCACCCGAGCACATCTGGTGCCTACACCTCCACTAATATCAGAAGAAATAAATAAATTTTTATGAAATAATATATTAGGCTAATTAAGGGGGGGAAAACAAACCGTGGCTCTGCACCACACAGCAAAAGGCTAAATACTTAATGACTGAAGCGACTGTTTAAACTGTCATCCAAAAGATGAGTCTGGTCTTATTCCGCTCACATCATCCTTACACTTCACTGTAGTTAATCAGAGCAGGACGCTGCAATGGTATCATGCAATGGTGGAAAGATCACCTGATACATAATGGGAAATTGATACACTATTTCACTTATTATTAAAAGCCAGCCTGGAAGGATTTAGATAAGTTAGGCTGTGTTCAGACTGCAGGCCAAAGTGACCCAAATCTGATTTGTGTGCTCATAATGTATGTGTTTGGACATGGGCCACTTCCGTACGTCATCCAAATAAGATAAAGGTCGGACTTTCTCAAATGCGACCTCAGTCTGGACAGTCAGATCGGAAGTCATGCGACTGGAGCGACTGTCATCACAATTCTGCGCTAGCGGGAGCTGCCGTGAACGCAAACATGGAGGAGGGCAGCGATGGAGGTCATTTGCTCATGAATTCCCTTTCTTCCACCGGAAATCAACTTAACAATAAAACCGTAGACTCTAAAGTCCGTGGCCTCGAAGCGCATGCGGGTCACACTGCAGTCTGATATGGACCACATTTTTAAAAAAAAATAGTGTGAACCTTTTGGGTCTCAAGCATAGACTTTCTTTCCTCTTCAGGCTTGAAAACCTAGACGATTGCTTAAATTTCTATGGAAGTCTTAAGTTCAGCAGAGCAGAGGAGAAACGCGTTGAAGGTCAATCAGTTCAGTGTGGGTTTCCTAAACATTGTGATGCGTAACTGTACACACGCCTCCATCCCTCCATCATCTGCAGCAACATCAGAGGTTTTACATGCTGCATAAAACGTTAACATGAGTCATGGTAGGTTTTAAATTTAGGGTGTTGGCTTCATGTGACCGGCTTCCTGTGTTTTCTACGTAGAAGCAGGGGAGCTTTGAAAACGTCTCACTATCTGCTTGCAGCTCACAGGTGGGCGACCTTCAGGGCTGCTAGAAAAACCACAACTAACAGAATCATCACAGCGGGTTTTAAGACAGCTGCAACGAAACAGGAAAATAGAGAACACATCTTTTGGAACTGCCAAAGCTAAAAAATTCCACACTCAGTCTGAGGTGTTGCAGAAGCAACTTAAACCAGAACCAAATCTGTCTGTGTTTGGAGTGAAAGCAGTTATAATAGAGATATCAAATAACCGGTATAATATGGTTAATGATAAAAAGCCACCATCCCACTTATTCCCATGGTTGTTTTTCCGCCTCTTCCTCCCTTGTAATAACACACACACACACACACACACACAAATAAATAAATACGCACATAAGATATGTAACTGTATCTGAAAAACAATAAACAGAACTTTTTTATTTATATAAAGGTCACTCTTGGAAAAGTTAGTTTGCTTGTTTATCCTTGGCTTGTAAAAACCAAGCTGCTAATTTTGGCCTGAAAAAGCAGAATGTTGCAGTCAAGTTTAGACAAGTTCAGATAGTAACTGAGAATGAAGCAATACTGCTGACAAGTAGTACACTGATCTCTATCAAAGGAGACCACGAAGCTGGCTTTTAGGTGGACAAATGACGTACTAGTCTCTAGTCACTAGAGAGTAGAGAGAAGAGAAGATTTTAACGTAAATGCTTATGACTGCTGGTTTTCTGTCAGTGTAAAGTTTCTGTCTAATGAAAACATGAGTGCAATAGGAGGCCTCCTTAATGTGTTTGTTAACTCGTGATGAGTAACACTAGCCTCTCTCTCCCTCTCTCTCTGGGTGCTCTATATTTCATGATGGGTGCAGGTTACATATCTGAGCAGGGTAGAGGGGGCACACGCGTGTGTGTGTGTTAAACTGCTTGTGTGCATGTTTGTATGCCTAAAGGGAATACAACGCTGCTCAATTGAAGACAAAGGGTCGAAGGTGTCGGGGATTCTGAGAGTGTGTGCAACAGAGGGAGGCGGTGGGAGACAGGAGTCGTGTTTTCCATCATGTAGGGTGAATCCCTGACAATCTCAAGTAACGCCAAATGACACGACACTTGACCTATACAGGGCTTGATTATATAGCAACACACACGAGAGCGCGTACACGTGCACACACAGAGTTAGTTAACTCATACTACATGTTTTAATCAGGCTTTGTGAATGGTCACACTTAACTGACTTTGTCCACTGGCAATTCCAATAATGTTTACTGGTGCCAAAAAGAGAAAGTAGAATTAGCCAAGTAATATTGCCTATGAACGCAGAGATAGAGAATCAGGCAATATGTGTCTGCCGCAAATTAAATTCCCTTCCTAAAACACAACTCAAATGATTTATAATCATCCATCCAGAGGAACGTTCAGAAATGAAGGACATTTAACTAAAAAGTGCAGTTAAAATCATCATAAATCATCTTCAGTTTCACCTTAATCACAAAACAAATAGCCTTTTCTCTTCTGGGAGACCATTATACGTCCCTGTTCCTGTTTAGTTAATGGTAATGTAACATAACCCTGCACAGAGGTCTTTGAGCTTTGATTCAATTAAAATTAAACAAGTCACACAAGTCTATTCCAAAGTCAAATCATTTTTATTTATGTGTAATATTAGTCGAATTTGTGAAAATACAAAAAATACATTTCTGGACAAACTGAACATGTAGTTGGAACATGGAGAAACTCTGTGGTCTCTGGTTTCCTGTCCAACAAACGCACAAGCAGACGAACTGAAGGAACTGAGTCGCGCATACACATATGTGCTTCTGCTGATTGTAGACTGGCTTCACTTTAGTCCAAACATACACACGCACGCACACCACTCACTGCACTCCTCAAAGCGAAAATATTGCCTTTTTTCATATTGTCCTATTTTTCCATCTGTCTTTTTCTCTCAGGCAGCAACAGTACTACTGTTGCTGTCTGAACATGGTGTGTGTGTGTGTGTGTGTGGAGAACAGACACCCTCACAGCAACAGAACAGAGGCTGTTGAAGCATGCAGCAGCACTCAAACAAAAACAGACTATGTGGATTTGGGGGTGGGGGGGGCAGCAAACTAGTAAACACACACACACTCACCTCTAATCAGGCTGTGTAGCTGACGATGTTTCGTCCTCACAGCCAAATTAGGACTGGAGCTGGACATTTAGAAAACAGAGATTTGTATTAGTATTTTTTAGTATTCCATTTTATTGTACTTATCTGTATATATATTTTAATAGCTAAATCATAATTATTTATGTACATGTTTTTATTTCACACTTGCTTTGGCAATGTAAACATCTGTTTCCTGTACCATTAAAGTCCCATTGAATTGAACTGAATTTAATGAGTGTGTGTGTCAAGGCCGCCTGGCCTGGGATGATCACATTTGACATTCAAAGCAACAGCTGTGTGTTTAAAGCTCAGCAAGAGACACATGCAGCTTTTAAACATCTCTATGCAGTTTCATCACATGGACACAAGCCAAAGACCAATTACATGCATAACTCGAAAACTCTTTTTTACAGAAAATTATTACTGGACTTCGTCTAAGTGACTAAGAGGAAGTGGCTCTTTCCTGAGAGACACACACTGCCTAGAGGCAACCCGTGTATGAATTCTAAGAAACATTAACATCAGCAGTGAAAGACCCCAATCTTCAACCTTCTCTAAAAACGCGGCTGTTGTTATGGTGCTTTCAGTCCAAAAGCAAAGCGAGCGAGCGAGTTTACATACAAAGTCAATGCAAAGACACGTAGGCCGTCGGAGAGCTGCTAAATTTGGGGGAGAGGAGGCAGGGAGCAGCGCTCCAGCTTTTGGGCAAATAAACACCCATGGTCGGACTGGATTATGCTCTGACAACTACGCCGTTTGCTCGCGGGAGGAGCTCGGAGTAAACTGCTTTTATTAAATTAGCTTTTTCCTTTAGTTTTTGGGATTTCAAAGTTGATTTATCTTCACTCAAGCTTCTCAGCAGCTAGATTCCGTGTACATCCGGTTCCAGTGTTAGCGTCGGTTGGCACCCAGAACTCTGTTGGACTACAACTTCATATTTATATAAAAACTGCACAAAACTAGACATTGCTGGGAGAAAAGAAAGCGAGGAGGTTGAACTACCTGGTGAGTTCAGAAAACATGTGTATGTAACTTTATTCCAGCTATCGTTGTACTTTACTGTGACCAAGTTAGCATAGCCCTGATCGATCCGAACTCTATTCAGAAAACAAATATTTTAGAAGTTGTTGTCCTGCTGACGGATCTGGGAAAGCATGAATTCATTCAGTTTGATCCATTTATTGCTCTTTAAATCACAGCAAAATGTTTACTTTGGGTTCATACAGCTGTAGTAATGGTAAGTTGTGTTTATTCGTGTTAGTCAACATTGCCAAGCAAACAAAAAGTATTTTTGTAGTTTGGCCGTGTCTTTTTCACTCATAACGTTGGCTATATCATTACCTTTAGGGCATGTTTATCAAGTCAATTTACATACCGCAGCAACACACGCACTCTCCGGTGCTGAGCAGAATGGGCTGTTCACGACTAACGCAGAGACTTCAAACCAATGCCAAATTATAGTACTACACTAGGCAAATGAGACACACCGCTTCATATTTGATTTGAGTTCATTTTTTATTTTATATTAATATTTATTCATAATTTATTGAAAAGTGCTGTTTTTTTTCCATAGCTTCCAAGTCATGTGACACAGGGACTTCAAACCAATGCCGAATTGTAGTACTACACTAGGCAAATGAGACACCTCTTATATTTTATTTCATATTAATATTTATTAGTATTTTATGGGCAAAATTTTTTGCGTACATTTGTGAGATATGCAATTCACTCAAATCAAATATGAAGGGGTGTGTCTCATTTTTCTAGTGTAGTACTACAATTCGGCATTTGTTTGAAGTCCCTGCGTCACATGACTTGGAATCTATTGAAATAAATGATGATTTTCCCATAACACTGTTTTCACAATTTGAATTTACTGATGGTCCCTAAGCTAACCCCCGTTGGTTAAAAGCGAGCCATCAGAAGTGAGCTAGCCGCACTTATACAACCGTCACTGGGTGAACTGACTAAAAAGCCGTCACTGGATCCTGGGTGAATGTCTGTCGAATATCCAACTTAAAACTAACTTCACCGCGGTAAGTACAACAAGGTCGAGGGCTTGCGATTTCAGGTGGTGAGTTTGTGTTAGATTTTGTTCTCACCTTCACACTGAATCCAACACCCCCCCCCCCCCGACAAAAGCTGCAGTGATAGAGATGTTTCTCTCAGATGGAAGTAATAAGATATCAAACAAGTATTGTGTTGGTTTCACAGTGCTTCAAAAGGGTAAAGACGAGAAGTCTAGTTGGAGACTGCACCGTGGAGAGCAATGAATGTGAAAATGCGCAGCACTTCCTGTGGAGCAATTCTGTTAAAAATGAATAGATATGATGCAAAACAAATTAAATCTTAACATATTACAAACAGTTGACATGTTGAAGCAAATTTTTTTTTTGGGGGTGGGGGGGCAACACTGAATTAATAGGGCCAAGATTAGAGTAAAAATTATAGGCCTGTGAATGGTACAGCTGCACAGCTGATCTCTTATTTGGGCTGATTAGACCTCTTCTCATGACTTTGTGGGCATGCAGACTGTGTTTGATTGACATCTTTGTCAAGCTCCTGCTTGCTAATCAGTCAAAATAATTAAACCCACCGGTTTTAGAAAAAAGGCATATCTAAAAGCTTCACTAGTATGTGCTGGTGCCTTCAGTAAGTCTACAAAAACAAACATCTACAAAAAAAAAAAGACATTTTCACTTATCCCAGCACTGAGTCAGCTTGCACAACACAATACACAAACTGAAGCGGCTAAATATGCCATAGTTGATTTTATTATTTACATTGGTGCTTTGTCCATCAAAATGTTTTCTGTGTGGTATTGGCTTCAACAAACCATACTGATGCATTACTATATTTAACAGAAAGCCTGGTCAGATCCAGAGTCAAAATGCATCAGGGGAAGACTTCTCATCCTGCCTGCAACACTTGATTTCACAGACTCAATGTAACACTTTCCACAGTATCATAAACACCACCTGTCATTCTACTGCAATACATCCGAGCTCGTAACTTGGCACTTGACCTTTCTGCTCGCGCTCAATGCTGCTATAGCTGCATTTCTATGAATTATATTGCTGTCTACAGGCCATTCTGCGGCTGTAGCATAAGATGATATAGCAATCTAGTGTGTGATGTAACTACATTGCAGGTGATGATGTAACCAGCTCTGCAGGCAGATATAAGCTGCACAACAGCATCGCCTGAGAGCTCCTCAAAGAGACAGAAGGAGAGCCCGAGGGAGAGGAAATAAGAAAAGGAAAGAACAAACAATGCGAAGAAATACACACATGCATTTGTTCCTCTATCCCCTTGGGGACATCTCACTGACATAATGCGTTTCCTAGACTCTAACCTATCAATGCGCTACTAATGTTCACTCACACACCATGCGAGCATGGTAACACTCATCACTTGGCTCGCTTCCTCTACTCATTCTTCAAAGGACATCTACGAGAAAGGTGCTTTTAGCCTGTAAGAGCAACGCAGCTCCAATCGGGAGGCGCTCTTGCGTAGCGAGTGTTTGATTGTCCGAGCAGCAGTAAGTGTACGGTGTCAGCTGTGTGTGTTAGCTTCTCAAGACCAAGAAAAGTCTGTCTCTTGTTTCCCCAACTGCTGGAAAAGTGAAGTGTGTTTGTTTCCCCTTTAGACTGCGCAGCTGACCAGGAAAGCTTCTACAGTAGGCTGTGTCTTTTGGCTGCTATGTAACATTAGCTCAATTTATAGAAAGTAACTGGTAGCTGTATTTTATTACTACCTACTTGTCCAATGTTGAGAACATCAGGTACAAACTCAGCTTACAGCTCTGTCCTGTACACTGACTGTACACCCTAATACTTTTTCAGGTTTCAGATGAGTCTGAAAAAGTGGTTGTTAGGAAAAGAAACGACAGAGGTGACTAGAAGAGCTGATTCAGTAAAGCTAATTAGTGATGCAAACTAGTGCTTTCAAGCTAATGAGGATACGTTTCTTTTTGGATTTTAATGTGCAAATAAAAGTAACCTCAGAAGGTTTCTTGCCTATTTTTATATTAATGTCTACAGATAAATGTCAAAAGCTTTAAAATGAAGATACAAAAGACAAACATGAACAGTAGTATCTATAATGATTCCGAATTCATATTAACAGGCCTTTCCTGCCGTTAAGGCTCAGAAGGAGATGCCCAAAACATGCTGTGCCATAAATGTAAAATCACTGTGGAGAGCATCAGAACCAACCAGTTCCTCCCCAGTAGACTGATCTTTAGGTGTTTATTTATTATCTGCTCTAGCTTTTCCAAGTATTTGTTCAGAGATATGGTGAAAATAAGGCACAATATGATGTGAATTACATATTTTTCATTGAAAAACCTAAAAACAAACCCCTGACCATGACTAACACGACCACCACCAAAACATTCCTCTAAAGCTCACAAAAACCTATGGGAAAACACTGAAATTTAAACTATTCTAATGTGCATTAAGGAAAATCAGGCCCTACCTCACTCAGTACGCAACCCAGCTTCTGGTACAGGCCATGGTTATCTCTCGCCTTGACTATTGCAATGCCCTCCTAGCAAATCTTCCAGCTTGTGCGGTGAAACCCTTACAAATGGTTCGGAACGCAGCAGCACGTCTGGTTTTTGATCAGCCCAAAAGGACTCATGTCACTCCATTACTCAGTGACCTCCACTGGCTCCCCGTGGCCTCCAGAATCAAATTCAAGTCACTAATGCTTGCATACAGAGTGACTACTGGGTCTGCACCCATCTACCTTAACTCCATAATACAAACTTAAGTTCCTCTTCGGCCGCTACGCTCCTCCAGCGAACGCTGCCTGGTTCTGCCATCCTTTCACACAAAGCAATCCCAGTCCCGGCTATTCTCATCTGTGACACCACGATGGTAAAACGAGCTACGACATGCCATCAGAGCAGGGGCATCCCTCTCTAACTCATCTCTTCCGAGAACACTTCCTTTTATAACACCTCTAACTCTTAACCTCTAACATGCACTTCCTGTGCTCTTCTTGTTCTATCCCCTACAATTATCTTGTATTGATTGCACTTTGTTAACTCTTACTTCCTTCCCTAGGTATTTACCCCATTGATGTGATATGTACTATGAGCTCTTGCTAGTATTTATTGCTGCTCTTACTAGTATGTATTGACAGTTGTAGATCTGTATTTGATGCTCTGTTGATGCTTGTATGTTGTTCCTCAAATGTAAATTCTCCGTATTTGTATATCGCCTTTCTAGTCTTTTCAACCACTCAAAGCGCTTTTACACTACATCTGCATTCACCAGCCTAAGTGCTCAAACGGAAACTAACATTCACACTCACTAATACACTAATACACTGGCGGAAGAGCAGGCAATTTCAGTATCTTGCCCAAGGACACTTCGACACGCAACCAGGGATTGAACCACCGACCTTCCGATTAACGGCCAACCCGCTCTATCTCCTGAGCCACAGCCGCCCCGTGGCAATGTAAGTTGCTTTGGATAAAAGCAAATGAGTAAATGTAAATGTAATCTAATGCAATGCATGCTCATGGACACAAAAGCAATACTGCTGAGACAGGGCTTTCTAAAATCAGACATACTAGGCGCACAAAATAAAAATTTGCCTCACCTCCGCTGCTACAGTTCCATCCTAGGGGAAACACTGCTAACCTTAAACATCACAACTAGTCTTGTTCCGATTGGCGATTGGATCGGCTATCGACGATTCAGGGGAATATCAGCGATTGGTTTTTAATGTGTTGATATTAAGGTGATTTTAACTAACTCACCATCAGAACTAAGCTGACATAAAAAGTTTCTAGAATCTGCACCACACTGCAGTGTTTTCCATTCACTGATTTATTTGTGGCAACAACACGCCTCAATATCAACGCTGACCGCCACATATACTATTAAATACGAGTGAAATCATAATTCATTTTGGAGCTGCCTGCAGCGCATAGATTCGCTTAGCACCTCCGCTTACTCGCTCCCTCTCTCTCTCTCACAAATGGAAACGGAGCCCTGTGTTTATAGAAAAACTAAAGCATTCAAGGAAACACAAAGTTAATTTATCTATTTTCTTAACACAACGCTGTCAATGTAGGAGAACCACCTTCAACTAAGTTATAAGGAAGCCTAGCTAATAAGTGTACTATGTTAACGTTAGAACAGTTAGGGCTGTCGAAGTTAACACACTGTACATAGCTGCTGTTCAATGTCAATTGTACCACCCGTGCTGCCAGAGTTATACAGTAATTCCGTGGGAAACACTGCAATGTGCATTTACAGATGTTTCTGGTGCTTTCACTTAAAACTAATAATACTTTTTCCTTCCATGCTTGGTATTTCACTGGCATGATGCAATGTAATACCGCCCCCTGTCAAGCAGATCACCAATCAGTGTTCTCAAGTAGTCATGATCAGATGATATGAAAATAGAGAAGATCGGCCAACCCTAATCACAACTACATGCCTAACCTTAACCTAATTGTAACCTGAACCCTAAAACCACATCTTACTCCTCAAATAGCAGTCTCTGCCCGTGGGGAATAGTTTTTGTCCCCACGATGATACGAGTCCCCACCGGGATATAAAAACATGAAACAGACACACACAGAGGCACTCAATCAGGCCATCAGTCAACCACCATGTGCAATTCACTCTGTGCAAATGCATGTATATGCAAGAAAACACACACACACACACACACACACACACAGCACTCACCGACCTCCGGTTCATGAACGCTGTGGAACTGCTGCACGGTGACTTGACTGACAAGTACTACTGGCCTAACTGACTGATCGATCAAGCAATGTCTCAAAGGAGTTCCTATCCACGATGCGTGTGTACGTGAAGGTGTGTATCAGGAGCGTCCCGGGAACCCCAGGTCTGTAAGGCGACCGCGGGGTGTAACACAACGCTGTCTACATGCAAGCAACAGTGATTTCATCGCTCGCTTCCCATCTGTCAACAAGTACCAAACACAATGCCTGTTTGCAAACTTTTGCTGAGTGCTCCCACAACCACAGCTTCCTGCTGTTTGCTGTTGAAATACATTAAAGTGCCTTGCTCAAGGGCAACTCAAGGCTTCTTAAAACTAACTTCTTATGACTGATAACTGTAATTTAAATGGAGTGTCATCCTATTATTTTTTGTTATGTGGCACATGTTACAGGTCTCTCTGAATAAAAGCATCACCAAGTTCCCTGTGAGGTAAAACTGTGACTGCAGATGGGATTCTTTGACTAGCTAGATAATATATGTATAACCGTTTGCTTCATTGTTACATAGTACTTCTTGAAGTATTAAAGTACATAATTCTACATAAATTACACAGTGCTGCCATCCATACATGTCTGGCTGAATACCAGATTGCCTGCAGGGGAAACAAACGTGAACATATTGGCTACACTTCACACACAGTCACGTCTGTTCAGCCTCTTCAATTTGATTTTATGTATTTTGTTTTAGGTTGACAGAATGTATAAAGATGTTAAACATGTTAAGCTGTAAAGGTTTGGCAGTTGGTTAATGTTGCAGATTCATACAGGACTCTGCCAGAGTGGTACGGAAGGGTTAATTTAGGGGTCAAATTATGATTGCGGTGGAAAGTTTGGGTGAGTGACGACAGCATTAGTCAGACACTGGAACAGACAGTCTGCCTGGATGGCAAATCGTGTTGGATAATCAGACGGCCTTTCAAACTGTGAGCCTGACTGCCTGCTGAAGCTTGCGACAGTGTCTACTCCAAGGCAGGGCTTGCAACTAATCCAGAAAATTACATTTAGGAAGCTGGAATTAAAGATTTTTTTCTTAAATGACTCAAACCCATTATAAAAATAGGTAGTTTCATTTAACAATTGATAATAATCGATTAATCTTTGCAGCTATGCGCCTACTCCAGGGACACAAGATAGGTAGAGAAAAACAACACTGGCTACAGAAAAGAGTACAACAGAATGAGAGATAAATGCATATTCAGAAAGAGTAGGGAAGAGCAGAGTAATGATTTAGCCAGAATTTCACTGCTTCCTGCCTCTAAAATGCCAAGATTGGTTGGTTGGTTTTCTTGGTCTTATACAATTCTAAACATTGGGTTTTGGATTGTGGTTCCACAAAATAAGCAAATTAAAGACGTCACCTTTTTCAGTATTTCATGACATTTTTATACACACACACACACACACACACACACATATACGTACACACACACAGCCATCGTGATTAGAACATTTGCAGCTAAATGAATAAATAAACACAAAAGATCAGAGAGGCCGCAGTGGAGACAGTCAGGTGAAGATAACTCCAGGATTACTCGAGTTGACGACAACTATGCTGTTACTGTAACATCTGCCAGTAAAAAGCCAATTATTTATCAATACACATGTTCAACAAGCATAAACGTATATTTTAATCTGCTCTGTCCGCGGCCTCTCATCCACCATCCAGCTTGTGTAAAATACAGCGGATTGATACGGACGTTACAAACAAGCTAAAACAAAAGCTGTCTGTATCGGTTTAGCTTAGTTTGCAATGATCTTAAAAATTGGCAAATTCTTCTAAACTTAGCTGCTGGCTGAGACAAACCAGCCCCTCCTCCATCTACCTGCTGTAAGTTACCTGCAGGGGTGAATCACAGCAGCAGAGGGAGGAGGAGGACAGGAGGAAGGATCTGAGTTCTTCATTCTTCCTAAACTTCACTCAGTATTTTGATGCCAGGAATATGATTTATTTTATTAATATTTTAGATTTGGTTTCCAGTGAGATACACAGACAGTTGCTGCAACATTTAAAATATTATAATCCTGTAATAAACCAGGCTGACATAGGAACTGTATAGCTAATATGCACATTTCCATTTTGTTTATTTATCGCAAGTCATATCGTCGTCACAACACTGAACAATTTTATTGCACATTTTCCTCATTTCGGGCAGGCAAGGTTTACAGCTTATCTTGTTTCTTGACCAGTTTAGTGACACGACAGGCTAAACAAAAGGTACAATCATATAATAGAGGGCATTTGATGTGTGAAATACTACCTCTGTTACTTTTACACGATACAAGATTAATGTTTTTTTTTTTTTAATGCCTTAAGATTTTGTATAATTTTAGGCGAGGCCCCCTCCCCCATAAAACACTGTGGGAACCCTGTAAAGAAGATAATGGCCAGCTGCAGCAGAAATTAAGTGAAGTAGAAAGATTAAAATGTTAAAAAGGAATAGAGTAGAAGAGAGCAAAATTAAGTAAGGTCGAGTATGTTAATATAATGGCTTAAAGTGCATTAGCGTCAACTAAGTCAGTAACGTTACAGTCGTAAAGTACACTTATAGCAACATCGTACAGAGTTAACGTGTTTTCTCTCCATTAAAAGGACGTGACCTGTGCAACCATGTAAACAAGTTTAAAGGCAGCTAATGTAGTAGCTAGCCTCCATTTAGGTGCAGCTACGGGGTTTTCAGACAGTCTTCAAGTCTCGGTTCACATAGCCAGTCCTCCTCCTCCCTCCTTCAAACGAAAAAACAAACTATCAAAACCTATACGGACGGACCCACCTCCTCTTCCTTTCTGCTGCTAGCTCATGCCGCGCTACACAGTTAGCTAAGTTAAGCTACCGGCAAGCACAAAGAGCCCACACAGCTGACGCTAATTCTGAAACCATCATCACTGCGGTCCAAACATAACATGCAGCCGCTCAGTCTTACCTCCTGGACACGGACCGCTGCTCCGAGTCCCCACGCAGACCCAAACTGTGCTTTCTAAACGTGATATATGCTGCACTGAGCTAGCCAGCTTTATCCGGAGTCTTAAAGAGATGCTGGATGTTTGCTCACCGATGATTGAAGCAGTTGCTTTTCCCTTTCTGTCTCTCACTGTAAAACTACTACCTCAACCCCCGCCCGTAAACCACCGTATAAATGCGCCATTGCATTTCAGCCAATAAACGTTGACGACGGTTGGTGCTGAACAAGTCTCACAACAGCATGTCTTTCCAGAAGTACACCTCAACCGAATTGTAACGCAATGTAAAGAAACAATATTTGGAAACTTTAGAAAGACGAAACCGTTATCTAGCCCTGAAAAGAGATTATGAATTGGTAGAATTTCTTTCAAATCTCAGAGATAGAAAGCAGAGACAGATCCTAACCAAGTACAGAGTTAGTGACCACACGCTGGCAAATTTAAAAGGATGAAATAACGAACATAAATTCAACTTATCACATTTCAAAGAGCGAAATGAGCTCTCAAAATTAAAAATGGCCTAACGTTACTTCTAGGAGAAGGAGTAGGGGTCTATCCTTTACAGAATATTTTGTTTCACACTCACTTTAGAAGCCCCACTGACATGAACTATAAAGTAAGGAGAAAAGACAAAGAGGGCTGGCTCACACTCGTGTGACCAAAAAGCAAAAAACAGCACAATGTCGCCCTTTTTTGTAGTGGTACGATAAACCGCATACAAACCAAACACACACTCCCCCCGGGAGAAATAGAGTTTTACTAGCCTCTAGTGGTTAAAAACGCGCTTTAGGAAAAACCTGTTTGCGCTCTTGGAAAAACTTTACGGTTATACCCCAAAATGATGGACGTTAAACAAGCGTGACGTAGAAAGCTAGAACCAATTGGCGGGACAAACACTTGGAGGAGAGGCGGGACAAACACATCTAACGGACCAACAGCCCGTCTGCCTGGTATAGCCGTAGCTAACGGACACGTCTGATTATAATTATGTGAGTTATAATACGAAAAATCCTGAGTTTTGGTGTGTGCCATTCGAGGAGACGAACATGCTGGCCACTGGTCTAGAAATGCACTGAAGTAAGTTGTCTTAAATAAAACACCAAGCGGTTAAGTTAGCTAAATGCTATGTGGGCTGTAAAAGCTAGCTGTGATTATAACACGGGCTAATAACGTTAACGAATGAATAAAAAATTCCAGCTGAGCTAATGTTAGTGACACGTTTGTTTGTTGGGGTTAACAAAACCACGTTTTAAATAGCAATTAGATGCTAATCAAACGTTGCTGTCTATGCTTATATGTCTGATTTCTTGCTAAAAATACTCACCAGACTAAACATTCATCATAATTAAGTGTCTTGACAGTTTCTAACCTTTTCTGTCTCTGTCCCATGGATGCAACGTCAACATTACTGTCTGCCCAGCGTCTGTTTGCTCCTCTGATCTGTCTCCAGTCAGTGAGATGTCTCTGGCTCAGAGGGTTTTGTTGACCTGGGTCTTCATCCTGGTCTTCCTCATCATGCTAGTGCTCAAACTGGACGGGAAGGTGAAGTTCGTTTTTCTCTTAATGCTTGTCAGTCTCCTTGTAAGTCTGCCTTTTCTTTCAGCTCCTGTGTTTTGAGAATGTCATCAGTAACAGTCAGTCTAGCTCAATCAATCTCATTTATGCTCTCAGGTTTCATAAAAGTTCATCATTATCTTCTCTCCCAAGCTAGAAACGGATCCAATCTTCTACCTTTCCTCCTTCCAGGTGCAGTGGAACTGGTTCCTAATCTTCCTCCCGGTCTGGGTCTTTGATGGCATCCTCATCCTCATGCTTGCCATTAAGATGGCAGGCCGTTGCAAACCCGGGTACGACCCACGCAACGGCTCCCCAGACCTGCGCCTGCGTGCCTGGTACCTGACGGCCATGCTGCTCAAGTTGGGCTTCTGTCTGACGCTGTGTGCCAAGCTGGAGAAGCTGGCAGACGTAAAGCTGACGTTTGTGTGCATACCCCTGTGGACTATGTTAGTAGGGGCGCTGGTGGAGCTGGGGCTGAACATCTTCCCTGAAAGAAGAGAGGCCTAAGAGGGAACTTTTGTTTTGGCCTGATTATGTTTCTAGAGAGTTTTGAGGCTCAAGAAGGAATCAAATCATCATGTCAGACATTGGAATTCATCTTAAGAATAAGAGACTTTGTGTAAAATAAAAATCATAGTGTGTTCACACCTCAGTGAAGAATGCTGTAAGGGCTTCAACAGGGCAAGGATGCTGCCGTCTGTGCAATGGAAGAGCTGCGATTGGATCCGTCACAGTCCATTCATTTAAACATTTCAAAATAGCTTAAAAATGGCTCTATTTTCTTCGCAAAATAACAAAAATGCCATAAGGGGATCAACTGAATATGTATAAGTCTACTGTGAAGCCAACAGTGGAAGAAACATTAACATCCTCAAATGTTTGCTTTTGTATTGAACTCAAGATGTTCAGTATTGTTTTTTTAGTATTCATTTCCCTATATGTGCGCGAGCACAGCTGCTCTTTTAAAGAACGCCACACAGGGAGGAACTGAAGGGTATTTGGTGACTCCACTTCCTTTTGTTTCAGCTGCATAACAATAACTGTCACTTTTGGTACAGAATAACGGAGTGTAAATGTTACATACGCTTTAGATATTGTTTGGCTGTATTTTCACTTTTTCATTCCCGAGCTGTGGGGAGCAGCTGGCACAATATTATTTCACATGTTATAAATTAACTTCAGAGGTGTTTTGTGACAACAGCTAAGTTAGGCTGTAAGCACATAAGGAGTTGATAACCACAGTCATTTAAGAAATTGGTCAGGACATAAGAGCATCCTGGCCCAACTTGGGATTTTGTCTTCTCCCCACAGGCTACCTACCCCCTCTGCTCTGTACAAGCTCTCTTTTATACCATGTTGATCATCCTGTGGCCCATGAAAATCTGTAAACTGTTCGGTACAAGGTCCAAGGTTGAAAAAAAAATTGACATGCATCATACTGGTGGCCAAAGTGATTAACATTCAGATGAATGTGGAAAAAAATACATTAAGTTTAATAATTAAGTTGCAAATGTGTCAAACTGTCAGATTACTGAATACCAGCAGTTTCCAGTGTTGTGTCAAGTTGATCATTGTTTCATATTCTATCTTTATGTTTGTTATATCATTACAGTATATATATATATTTGTTTGGTGCCATTTAGTTGTTTATTAATATTTCAAATACATTCTTTGCATTATTTTGCACTATGTTGAAATGAAAAGGAATACGTGTTTTGAGGTGGAAAGTGTTTGATAATTAATGCATGTGTTGTAAAATAAATAAATAAATAAATAAAAATAAAACAAATAAATGGTTTCTGTACATTAAACTGTGGTTGTTTGTCTCAGTTAGTCATAATGGATACTAAAATAGTAGTGGTAATAGTAGCAATAGTGATACATATTCACATTCAAGTGTTTCCAAACTCCGATGGATCACATTAGTTGCAGGCTATGCAAAACAAAGTGCTGTGGATGGAGGGAAAAAATCCTGCTGGGATGTGACCTGAAATGAACTGTGAAGCAACCACAGAGCCAACAGCGTGTGTGTGTGTGTGTGTTCGGGCCTTTTAGGGACACTTCAGCTCCTCTGACACACATACAGAGCACAGTGAAGTCTTTCTGTCCACGTTGGTCATAAAATGTTTGTCATGACTTTAGTGTCAGGTCTTTAACTCTGAGATCAATGTTTCCAGTGTGCAGTCTTGGTGTTCGCAGAGCTCCACTTGTCCCAACGCTGTCATCAACAGCAGCAGGAAAAAGCCGCTAGAGGAAGTACGGACAGAAAACATGGTTTACAGTAGTAGAAAAACAAAACGCTGTGCTTACTGTGCTGTATTTGTACTTTACTTGAGTATTTGAGTAAGTGTATACTTCCTCTCGATTTCAGAGTGAAATATTTATAATAATATTTATAACATTTATTTGATGGCTATACTTACTAGTTACTTTGCAGGTATAAAAAACACACACTTTACATACATTACAAACGTCCAGCAGAGAAGCGTTTCCGTTTGAGTTAAACAAACTTGTTTAACAGAACTTTCTACTCGAGTCCTCAAATTGATCTTGTGACCCTTTGAAAGGGGCCTGACCCATATGTTTGGAACATAGACTGTATATAAAAAGGTTGGGAACCACTGGAACAAACCAAACTAGCAACACTAGTAGCTACTTACAATTTGCACTGATGCATTAGTATTAACAACCTACTAACGTAATATATAACAACAGCTTAAGTAGGATTTAACACTCAGGAGTATTTTTACATTATTGTTAGGTACTTTTACTTAAGTGAAGGATCTGAATCATTCTTTCACCACTGGTACATGACAAAGAACAGTGATCTCCTTGCCCAATCTTAAGGGCAGGAAAAGTAGCCCACATTAATTTCACAACTAAACTAACAATGAGTGCTATTTCCAGATAATCGTCATGGCACATGACCTTGAAGAGTGAGTGGCATATGCTCAGAGACTGTATGGTCTGTGTGAACGCCACACTCACGCAGTTTCATTAGCCCCAGTGGCGGTTCTAGACCAATTTTATTGAGGGGGCCAGACTGGGGCCAGTTGTTTTGTCAGAGGGGCACATTCAATCGGAGACAAATGAGACAAAGGCTCAAGCTTTCAAAATGTCCCGTTTTGTATATAATGTAATGCTTTAGTATGTTTCAGTAACTTACAGTTATTTGTTTCAGTAACAGGATCTTTTCAGTAACTTAGTTATATATTTATTAAATTACATTACACAAAACAAAACATTCCTGTTAGACCAGTAGGCTACTGTTATTGCTTTTTGTGTATAAAAAGTGCTGTTTAAATGCAATGCATTATTAAATTGTTATGATAATAATTTACCCTTTAAGGAGAGGGACTTTCCAGCAATATCCAAAGGCTATCCATGCAATGGAAACATGGATTACAAGGACACAATATTGTCTACAATGCTGCATTCATTTTAATTTTGTTGCAAGAAGATACATTACTATGATTACTGTAGACCGGGGCTATTAAATTATAGATTTAATTGGGACGGATTTTAAAACCTGGACACAGAGATGGGTCGGACATTTTCTCAGGAGTTGGGATCATTAAGATTTTACTGACACACTTGTATTGGTTATCCTTATTGGTTCAGTTCTTTATTGATGCTCTTATCAGTCCTATTTATTACTAAATAATTAAATATATTATTTAAATTTTTTGTTGTTTCTAGAGCAGCAACAGGATTTACAGCAACAAAGTCACTAATATCTCACTGGAAACAAATTTAACATGTCAGTAAAATAAATATTACATCTTCCTGACATCAACATAGTGTGTGAAGTTTAGAAATTATGAACAACTCCTGTCCTCCTCCCTCTGCTGCTGGTAGAGGGGAGGGCTGGTTTGTCTCAGCCACCAGCTGAGTTTATAATGTGCCATATTTTAATGTACAGGCAAACTAAGCTAAACAGTTACTAAAGACAGACAGCTTTCACTTCAGCTTGTTTTTAACAATAAGCTATTAGCTGAACTAGCGCTGTGCCTGCATGTGTAAAACCTAAAGACAGCTGCAGTGGATGAGAGACTGAGCAGATTAAAACATAACGTTTTGCGTATTATGCTTACTAAAACAGGTGTGTCGGTAAAATTGTGGCTTTTTACTCGCAAAGTTTTTACTGAACCACGTACGTACACTAAGGAGAGGAGTAGTCATCAATGTCGGTAATGTCCACTGATCACCTGGCTGACCTCGTTCCGTGTGATCGCGAGAGTGTGTGTGTGTGGCGTGTTACCGACAGTAAGTGTAGAGCCTTGATTGGCGGTGATCGGTACAGCGCACGTGAAACTCAACAGAGATGAGAAGGAATGATATAGCCTACAGTAGCTCACTCTTTAGATACTTTCAAACACTATACATGTAGTGTTTTGTTGTCATATAGGCTATATTAGATCATGTGCTGGGCCACATGGAGGTTGCTTCGGGGCATCGAGGCGGCCCGCTAATTCATTAGGACTACCGTAGACTTTTCGTTCAGAGGGGGGGGCATAGGGGGGTACAAGGGCTGTGTTACAGGGGCACTGGCCCCTGTTGCCCCCCCCCCCCAAAACCGCCACAGATTAGCCCCCACAAGTATTCCCTCCAAAACTCTCTTTGTCTCTGCTCCAACTTCCTGCCTCCCTCCCACTCCCACACTCTAAAGGTCAGCTGAGCTCCTCTGGCATTCCAGCTGTGTGTGAAAGTGCATGAAAGGATGGGGAGAGAAGGAAAAGTCCGCTTTGAGTAGTATTTGACCTGACACACACCAGCTCTAAATGACAGAGTGTACGAGTTGTCTGCTCAAATCTCGCCTGGTAAAACTGCTGAGCTCATTGCTGCAGACTGCAGCGAGTGGGTGGCTTATATAACAGCAATCCAGAGAGGGAAAACAAAGGCAGGTATACATTCGACAAAAGGTGGCGGTTAAGTGTCTTAGAATTAGATAAAACTGGAGGCCTTTAAAAAGGTCAGACAGGTGCCTCTGGTCTTTAACTGGCACTCTTACATACGCCTGGTACTTCTGATATTAACATGACATCAAAGCAGCTGTAATAAATGACTCTGCAGTTCCGTCTTTCAGAGCTTTGTTTCGGCCACAGCTTTGTCGATATTTGAAATCAAGTGTCAAACAAATACACCCGTCCCTTCAGTGCTCCCTCAGAAACTCCGCACCCCCCATATTTCAAATCACCTTCGCCCTTGGCTGGTGATATACTCTTCAGACCTTTTCCTATTTGGCTGTTTCAAAAGCCATCTCTCCTTCTTCACAGTGCCTGGAGTATGGCAAGCATTTTTGAGAATTTGTCCTTAAAACTCATGTTTGCTAGCTAGCAGTCTTCTGCTGGATCGTTATTGCCACTAACTGTTCATCAGCCTGAAAAACAAAACAGTGACCCCCCTCACAAAAATATTGCTCCACAGTGCTACTAGTAGTCAAAAACAGTATTTTTAAACCTCCGTCTTTTTTTTCTCCCCCATTTTAGCATCTGACTATTCCGCACACGCATAAAATGCTTGATGAGACTCCAGATTTCCAGAATATGTAATATGTGAAAAAGTTCTCTCTATTCTCGAAAGTGTACTTTTTTAAAAGATGCAATTTAAACCACCAGACCAGAAAACATCAACTCTCACGCAGAACATTTTCCATACACTGAACCTTTTATTAGCTAGGCTCATATTTAAAGTAGAAACCACACTACAATTTTTTTTCCTCTTTACAAAACTTCTTATGTACACTACAGTGCTGACAGTTAAAAATCACAGAAACAAAATAGAAAAAACAAACCAAAACCTTGAGATAAATAAACTCTGTGAAAACAATGCTAGTCTTGTTTTGTTTTCAACTATAATTTTGTCACATTTATACAAAAAATATGTTAAGTTCCTGTCAGGTTTTTGTTGTTTTTGTAACATCTGAAAACCAAAAGCATAAAAAGAGCTGCTTGTAACTGGCATCAAGTGCTTAATTATCACCTCGCTCTCCGCCAAAGCCACAAAGTGAAGGGTTCTGTCTCTGAAATGAAGTCCTGAAGAGAGCTGAAGGTTCACTTTTTATTTTCCAACATTTTCCAGGGCGGTGGTGAGACTAACCCTGAGCCACAAAACTTGACTCATCCCAACTCACGCCTCAGGTATTTGGGGAGTTTTCAGCTGCTTTAGAGACCAATTTAAGGCTTTGCTCTCATTTTCCAGTGAACACTTAAACGGGGACTCCTGAAAAACCCCCTTTAAATAAAAGGACAGAACTGCTTCTCTACGTGGCTCTGGACCATTTAGTGGTTCACAGTTAAGGACAGGCACTGGGGAAACGTTGTGGGCTACATTAGCATTAGTGAGCTGTACTCCAATATTGACAGTAAAATCAATGACAAAAAGAAATCAAGTTTATCCTCAACATCACAAGTTCCACAACTGTGGGACGAGCACTATAACAGAAGAGACTGACTCTTAAATCTTATTCACCATTTGGAGAAAACATGTACTCTTCATAGTTGTTGCTAAAACAAAAAAATTAATAATTTATTGTACTTTTAAAACACACAAGGTCACTTCAGTCCCTGGTCGATAAATAAAACATTTTAACAGACAGGATGCTCCACACTGGACTTCAGGTAAATAGATAAATAGTGCTTTGGGAATGAGCTCTCAACAGTGTATGTTCTGTCTGCCTTAGAGCACGTGTCCATAAAGAATAAGAAAAATGTTTCATAGAGGAGCCTGAATGATTCACGCAATAGTCTCGGAAGAACTTGAAATTGCCCTGTTGATAATCTGACATAATCTGGGATTCACGGCCCAAAGGAAAGGATTTAAACAGCGGTTGATGTATCTGTGTTTCAAAGTGCTGTAATGAATCACGTTCGGGAAGTCTTGAGCTACTGCACCTGTATGATATTGCTCTGCGTATTCTGTGGTTCTCATCCAGATGCTGTTAGATCTAAAGTTAACTCATGGAGAGCTCTTAATGTAGCTGCATAGGTACTAATATAATGCTGCACATTTAATCATATGTGAATGACCCTGAACTGTTAACCCTAAAAGCCCAATATCCTTAACTATGATTTAGATTTTTTAGGAGACCAATATATTTGTAGATGTGTCCTGAATGGTTTTTGTTTCTTTCCTGAGACTCTGACTCTGTATAACAGCCTTGGCTGGGTCAAATTGTTCCTTGGCTGACCGGCAAAATTAGGAGACCCTGGTACACATCAAGCAGAGTCAGCAAAATTACACTAAAAGCTCTACCACTGGTGTTGAGGGCTACGGGTCCAAGATAGTTCTAACACTTTAAAGGAATAGTTCGACATTTTGGAAAATATGCTTATTCAGTTTATGTCTGTTATATGTGTACCAAAACTATGAAGCTAATTAGCTTAGCTCAGCACACAGACTGGAAACAGAAGGAAACCGGACCAGTAAGTTGATGGTAGTCTCCGCTGGCTACGAGCGCAGATGACGAGACTCCTGTGTTTCCTGTCTTCATGCTAATCTAAGCTATGCAAAGCTAAGCAGCTAGCAGCTCCAGCTTTATATTAACCATACAGCCATAAGAGTGGTATCAATCTTCTCATCCAAGTCTTGTCGAGACCACAAATAAAAGCGTTTCCCAAAATGTCAAACTATTCCTTTAAATTGTGACTCTTTGTTTGGTGTGATTCAGTGCAGTGCTACTGTATGCTGTAACTTAGTATGGTGATTTATAACCGACACGGGAGTTTCCTTTTGTTTAGTAGCACTAACAACTGCACTAATATTCTTCTTGGACAATACTGAAACTGATTAGAAATATCATGTAGATACCTGTTCAATACATTTAAGCACTCCTCATGACTGTCGACTTCTTAGTGAACATGATTCAACAGGACATTACTGGCTTTCTATCAATTAAAAAATACTGACTCTTGCTGTCACCGTATCAATAATGGGGAATGCATTTATACTTCTATTCAACATATTATTGCAGAGCATTATTGCTCAAAATACAATATTAAAGTACTGCAATATACTGTATTGATTAAGATGCATACAATACAGTAGAGGAAAAAGTAGCAATATTACGTCAACACAATAGTGTATTGTATAATATCATGATTTGACCCATCATTACTCCAGAAACAGTCTTGGGCACAAAGAATACACTAGGGAAAAAAAGCCACAAAAATGGAAGCATTAGCTGCAAGTTTCACAAAAAGATCATCATAAAAGACCTTTTTTATATAAATATCTGACACAAAGTCTGCTTTTTTTCCCTCCTTCCTACCTCTGATGGCTCACAGAGATTCTGATATTTGAGGGTTATGCTCACTTAAAAACAAACAAAAAAAAAAACAGACCCAGACAGCAGTTTTCTCAGACTAGGTAGCTCATTTACACCTTAAGCCTGAATATTATCTTCTTTAAAGTCGAAATTGGAAGAAGAAAAATAAAACTACCAATAAATGCAATCAATTCTCAATATTTTTAACCCGAGCACATCTAAAGCATCAGTACAATCTAAACCTGTCCAGTCATGATGTCTGGGGTAAATAAAGTCCAACTCTGCGTTATAAACTACGATACGGTGCACAAACCGATACACTCCACTGTTGTCCTCGTTATTTCCTTTTTACATCATTTTACAACAACGCAACCAAAATAAATCCTTGTACATTTACATTTAAAAACCCTGTTATGTACAAAAACTACTATAAAATCTGTTTCTGTTCCTCTTCATGCTTCGGCGGAGGGGAGAGGACAGAAGGGGAAGGCTGAGGGGGCTGAGGGGGCGGAAGAGGTGGAAGAGAAGGAGGAAGTGGAGGCGGCGAGGAGGAAGGAGGAGGAGGCGGGTGCGGGAAAGGCTGCGGGAGCTGAACCTGCGCTGGTGCTGAGGTTTGGTATTGCGGTTGTAGGTAGGAGCTGGTCGACTGAGGGAGGAAAGACTGAGGGGGGAGGAAGTGGTGAGAGGGGAAGTGGGGATGCTGAGGGGGGAAGAAGGTTTTGGTGTGCGGGGAGAACTGGTGGTGGTGGGAAAGGTGAGGTGGGAGAGAGTGAGGGCTTGTGAGTGGAGTGTTGGGTTGAGACGGGCAGGTGATTAGGGGAGGCTGGAAGTACGGCTGCGACTGCGTGGTGATGTTTGGCTGATGTGGGGGATGCAGGTGAAGCTGGCTCATGTGAACCGAATGGGGTGGCGCTTTCTGACTGAGGAAAGAGGGGGTGGAGAGTTGATTTGGAGGGAGGATTGGAGGTCTGTGAGAAAGATGGGAGTGCGGCAGGAGAGAGGGGAAAGAGGGGGGGAGCATGTGAGGGAGGTGAGGAGGTGGGAGGTGCTGGGCTGGGTATTGCTGCATGTAAACTCCTTGCCTCCCCGTGTCCTGTGGCGGATGCATCTGCGGATCCGTAGGCGTCCTGGGGTCCGTGCTGCGAGTCCATCTCTCTTGGAGCGTTTGTGTCCGCGAGTCTGTCGGCGTCCGAGCTACTGCGTGCGTCCGTGTGTCTGTGTGCGTGTCCACGGCGGGCGACCCATGTGGCGCCCGAAACTCCGACCGCGCCTGCGCGTCTGGCTTTGGCCGGAGTGAGTCTTTGTCCTTTGGTGGGTCTGACTGCGAGGAGGAAGGCAGCTGGGACGCCGAAGTCAGGGCGGACGGGGGGAGTGAGAAGTCTGCCGCGGGCTTGGTACTGGTCAGGGAAGATTTAGCGGAGGTGGACGCGGAGGAAGATGTGGACAGAACAGGAGATGGAGAAGAAGTAGAGGATGGATTGAGAGCAGCAAAAGAAGAGCGCAAAGGAGTAACAGCTGAAGGTGACGAAGAAGAGGAAGATTTGAGGATGGGTGATTTAGGAGCTGAAGAGGAGAAACTTGCACTGGAAGATTTCGTCCTGCTGTCCCAATGATGGTGATGGCCGTGGTGATGAAGGTGCTTTGATGATGCTGTTTTGGGTTTTGTGTCCTGGTGAAGAAGATGAGAGGCAGGAGGGAGAGGTGAAGGTGATTCATTCTTGCAGCGAGGAGGCGCTGGGAGTTCTGCTTTCACCTTTGCGGGAGGTGAAACCTGCTGTTTGGTTTTCCCTCTTTCTTTTACTCTCTCCCTCTCTTCCTCTTTGTCTCTAGCATTGCTCACGTTCGAGTCCAGTGAGGGAGCAGGCTGAGACGAAACAGGTGGATGCTGTTCCTCCTTTTTGACAGCAGGCAACGTCCTGTTTTCTGCCACATCCACCTCCTCCTCCTCCTCCTTCTTCATCCTCTCCTTCACTTTACCCTTCTTTTCTCTCCTTCCCTCTTCTTCCTCCTCCACTGTTTCCCTCTCCTTCAACTCAACCTGCTCCTCCTCTTCCTTCACCCCCTCCTCCTCCTCCTCCTCCTCCTCCTCTCCATGGTGGTATTGTTTTAAGCGGATGTGCCATGCCAGGCTGCAGACAGATGACACCGTCTTGAACTGGTGGACCACATTGCGCGGGATGAAATAGATGTCGTCGTGGCACAGGCGGATGCGAGCGTAGCGGATGCCCTCACGACGCAGCTGGTTTAGTTTGGCATCATCCACCCACTTCACGCACTGTAAGGAGAGAGGAGGGGAGGAGGGTTTAGGTAGAGGAAACGAAGAGGTGCACTCCAAAATGAAAACTCCATCTTTGGACACCGACATCTGTTTTGAGTGAGGTTTTTACTCTTCCTTCTGACTATTGTTCAGCACATATTTTAAAAATAGATGAAAAGCGTAAAGATAAAATAAAATTCCAAATTCTTACAAAAAAGTCAATTTAAGTGTAGCTTTTTTAAACCTTTGAATTATTCTAAAATAACAAAACATGCAATGCAAGAATCATAATTTTGCCAGAGAAGGATAAATATTTCCATGCATCACTGAGCTTATACGTTTATTTATTTGGTGCTAACAACAACTTTGTAAGAGAGATAAAGGCCTTTTTGTAAAAGATGTTTTGTAATCTGAAATGGAAATTCCTTTTGATCTTTTCCAGGACAGGCGGAGCTCTGTGGCAAATTTTGAAGTGTTAGAGTCTCTTTAACTCAACAAAGAAAAGCTTCACATCTTTCAAAAAAAAGAAAAAAAAATGTGATCAAGATGATAAAAAAATTTAAGGAAGTGTCTCTGTGTGTGTGTGTGTGTGTGTGTGTGCTCGCGCGCGCCCCTTTATTTCCACATTACCTGCACTGAATATGCATAAAGGTAGAAAAGAGAGGAGAATGTGTGGATAAAAAAAAAAAAAAAAGAAAAAGACAATATTTGGATCCCTGTTATATATATTTATTTATATTATTATATATTTTGGAGAGATGCGACCCACATGTAACTTACTGCAGGTTAACTTTGGTCCACCAGGTGGCAGCCAACATCAGGTCATCTTAACTTCACACTTTACCCAGTGTAAAATTGTCAGTGTTTTATTAACACTTAAGAATAACTCTGCGTTTAGTTTGGGACTTCATAAGGATGACTGGGGTGAAACTAATGTGTGAGCAGTGTTATTGTCATGCTGTCTCTATATGTGTGTGTGTGTGTGTGTGTGTGTGTGTGTGTGTGTGTGTGTGTGTGTGTGTGTGTGTGTGTGTGTGTGTGTGTGTGTGTGTGTGTGTGTGTGTGTGTGTGTAAAATAAAACCTGAGACAGCGGAGGTTCGTGTAGGTCCAACTGCAGCCTCTGAACTACATGAGAGAAATCCCCAGCATGGAAACACACAACGTCTTTGGTTACACGAGGAGGCTCCGAGCTGACAGCATACGGAGTGAGGGGAGGACAGAGAGAGAAGGATTACATGATATCTGTTGGTGAGTAAGCTGTGTTACTTCTAGCCATCACCACCTGTACCCAAACAGTCTGACAAACCACGTGTGATCTGTTGCTTCGCCGCCTACCTTTGTCCGGACCCTACAGCCTTCAGCACCCCCACGGCCGCTGTGGTCTGACGTTCGAAGCCCTGACCGATGTGATCAGCGTGGGCCCGAGTCCGGTCCTCAAACAGCATCTCTCTGGGCTCGCTGGTCCTAGGCAGCGACTGTAGCAGGTTCTTCACTTCGTTGGTGGAGCTATGACAGAGACACAGATGAACATGGCTTTAGAGAAACAGCAGAGTGAGAAGAAGAAGAAAAACACATGTCGGCACAGTCCTACAGAGAGATTTCTCTGCTTCCCTGATGTCTAAATAAACAAGAACCTGACTAAAGATGAGTGTGCAGCTCACACCCCAGCTGTGTTTATTCCTTTGTTTCCTGCTCTGGCAAAAATAAAAGCACCAGACAGGCTTTATCCACCGATACTGTTGCTATGTTGGTTGACATTTATGTAATCCAGATACGACACTATGACATAAGGAGCGGAGAGGACGTCAGAGTGGATGAAAACCTGCATCAGTGTGGATAAAACAATACTTATTGTGTATTCTGATAGTGTTTTCAGTAAATAGTCAGAATTTCTCAAGGCCCAAGTAGAAATATTCACGTCTTTTTTTGTCCAACAACTCCCAAAAAACAAAAGATATTCACTTTAACATCATGGAAAAATAAAACAAATCAGCACATTTTTAAGCTGGAACAAGATAATTTTTATCAAAATAATAAAATTCAAAATTAAGTTCTAACAAACGAATAAACAACCCAAGAACGGCAGTGATGTAGAGGATGAAAACACACATTAGTGTGGACAAAAGCATTTTCACCAATCCTAACTAGATGTTTCTCAGCACACTGTAAAACCACATTTTATCCATATCAGAGCTTTTTCAACCAATTTCGACCAGTATCCTCTTCTTATCAAATTACTTTGTGTTTTAATGTTTGCAGGCGGCAAAAATTCTGTTACAATTTAAATCATAGAAAGTAAAAATGGAGTAAACAGCAGCGCTCGAACACATACACACTTGGCTCCTTTTATGCTTTTAACGCCTCAGCTTCTCTGTGCGTCTGCATGAAGCCACGCTGCCAAACAATAGAAGTACTGCAGTCAGCTCACTACTGGATCAGTGACTCACACCGGAGCTGCAGTCCGATTCAAACCCGAGTATAAACACACGCACAGAATCTGCAAGAGATTCCTTCGAGAGCAAAATGCAGACACACGCGTGCGTGCGCAAACACACACACAGAACAGCAGCGAGACTACCCGTGCCGAACACTTCATTGTGCATTCAGTCATTCATTCATTCAGAGATAAGAGGGCAGAGGCAGGAGCCGGTGAAAGAGGAAGAAAGAAGCAGAGGAAAATAGTACAGTGAGTAGGGGGAAATGAAAACACACACACAGAGCTCGGTGTGTCTGAGCTGACTGCAGGCTGACAGTAATGAATGTAAAACCAGGAAAGCTGGTAAGTGAAACACTGAAAAGAAGAGAGTGTAAAGGGAGGAGTGCTGAACATGCACTTCTAGAGTGATATTTGAAGTCTACCACCTGCCTCGAGTCTATCACTACCCTGGTCCTGTTCTTCTGGCACCATGTATGTCAGTATGCTGTGCGTTAGTGTGCACTGCAACGAGAATGCTGTGCTTTTGAGCGCAAGTAAAGTAGGAGGGAGGAGGAAAGAGGAGAACGAGAGGAATAGATGAGGGGCAGGAAGAGAGAGGTGTTAATGGAGGGAAACGGGATAAAGGAGGAGAGAGGTGGGGAGCAGAGGGATAAGGCAGAAAAAAGGAGGGAGAAAAGGGAGACCACGATCTCTGACGACAGACTTAACGCTGCAGTACACACTCCTGAAAAGGTTGTACATGACATTTCACACACTCAGCTGCTGCTCTTGTGACTCGAGCTGCTACTAATGATTATTTGCATTATTGAGCAATCTAACAGCTATTTGCTCTCTTAATTGTTTATTTGTTAGTCGATAAGATGTCCATGACCGTTTCCTACAGCCCAAGTTGACGTCTGAAGATGCCTTCAGACATGTTGTATGACCTTATTAAAAATTCACATCACACTTGTGTGTAAGTTTCATACTGGACTAATAATTGGCTTCCAAACTAGTTGTGGTTTGTGTGATTAAAATGTCCTGCTCGTATGTTCATGTCTTGAACTCGTTTTTAAAGAACTTCATCATAATTCTGTATAGTGAAGCATCTGGACTGGGGGGATTTAAATGTCTTTTTTTTGTCTAACTAAGAACCCAAAATAGGGCTGTAACCAACGATTATTTCGATTAATTAGTTATTAGTCGATAGATTAGTTGTAAGCAGGGATGTCACGAGAACAGATACTTCGGTCGATACCAAAATGATGAAAACATGTCGATACTTGTCCAAAAGAAAAAGTTGTGTGTGGAAACGAGGTGAAGGTATTCTGCAGTTGTTACCTACAATAGCTACGTGTCAAAGCCTCGATTTCTCCCAGTTTTGGGCTATTATTGGAGAGCTAATTTAGGCAGACAAACACCAAAGCTAATGATGCAGCTTGCAGCGCTACGAACAGAGTCTGTCCAATGCACCTGTTACTGTAGGAAGTGTTAGGGGCAGTCTTAAAACTGCAATACGATTTCTTTTACTTTCAATCATCAATGTAAAAATCTCAAACCACTGCCAATATAGATAGTGACCACCCTTAAACATTTCACACCTGTGAGTTTGTAAAGAAAAGTTAAGAAACTTAAGTAATTAATTTAATAATTATCTTTATGCACAGTGCAAGGTTATAATTTCCATAGCTTGCTAAATGCATATATTCAAATCACCTCTCATCTGTCCTGGACATCCTCTCACAACTTTCACAGCTGTGCAGTTGTTTTTTGTAATGTTTAAATTAAAGAGTGTATGTTGAAGTACATGGGATTTATCGTTTTGTTTTTGTTTTTACTGTTATTGGTTTCGAGAATCACGGAATTTGACTGGTATCGGTATTGACTATTAAATTTCTGGTATCGTGACATCCTAAGTTGTTCAGTCCATAAAATCCACAACCAACACTGATAACATTCAGTTTACTGCACAGAGGAGTAAAGAAACCAGAAAATATTCACATCCGAGATGCTGAAATCAAAGAATTTGAACGTTTTTACTTTAAAAAAGGACTCAAAGCGATTAATCAATTATCAAAATAGTTACCAATTAATTTAATAGTTGACAACTAATCGATTAATTGTTGCAGCTCTAATCCAAAACCAAAGATTATTCAATTTACAATAATATAAAATACAGAAAAGCAGCAAGTAATCATATTGGAGATGCTGGAACCCAAAGATGTTATTAAATTATTAACTGATTATCAAAATAGCTGCTTCCAACTCTACTTGAGGCTGAGCAGACTTGGGTTTGACATCTTGCTGAGAGCCATGCGGCTCTCGATGAACTCACATTGGCTCTCATTTGTCATGCATTTTGTATCCTAACAGGCTCATCATGTTCTGCGTCAGGCCTCCGTCCTGTTTGCGTCTGGTGCCTGCCAACGTTGCTGCCATTACTATGCAATTACTGTAAATCTCTGGAAGCACGACGGTCTTTTCACTAAAAGCTGAAATATTTTTGGGTTTTTTTACCGTCTGACCACTATAATCAAGCTGAATTCTCAGACTGAGAGTCTCAGTGCTGTCAGGAACGCATAACAGCTTGACCTTTTCCCTGAAACCAACAAGAAAAAGAAGCTGAACGCTGTGAAGAGATGCCTCCCGGTACACAAGCAGCCTTCATTCCTTAAACGCAACATGCGGTCAAACTGTAGACAAGGTCTCGCTGCAAATAACATCACGTCTTCTCGCTTTCCCTGCACTTCACACTAGTTCTGTTTTTATGTCTTATTCTTTCAACACACTTTTGGAGCTCCTGAAAATAAAAGCAGGAAAGACGGGTCAAGAGAAGGAAGTAGATGACAGACCGTTAGGAGAAATCCAGACAGAAAGACAGGGTAGATATTTACTGGTAGAGAGAGGACAAAGACAGAGAAATGAGGCAGTAGCGGGAGGGGTGGAGGAAGGAAGAGGAAGGAAGAGGAAGAGGGGAATGAGAGACTGAGGAAAGATCTGGGAACCAAAAGGGGAAAATTATGAAAAGAGTACACCTTCGTTGATAGATGTCATTTTCTATCATATCTCCGGGTAGTTTATGATCAAGTGATGGGAAGGGAAAGAAGAGAAGGGAATAGTTAAACCACCCCCCCCCTCTCTCTCGCCATCCATGTCCCTATAAAAACAGATTATTTCAGCCCCAGCTGTTACACAACTGTTTCTGACAATGTTTCCTCCAAACACTGTCTAGTCATCCCCCCACTAACTGACACGCAATATGTATATGCAACATAACGTGTGTATTTATAGGCTGAATTCAGATGTAGAGACTAATGATAACGTGGATGTACTTTATATATTGCTTCCCCTTGTCAGCAAAGTCTGACTGACTAAAAGCTTTTTTGAATGAATTTAGAGACAAGACTTTGGTTTATAAAATCTTATAAAATAGTGAAGAATCAATTTGTTAAAGCAAACAGTCCAAACCCCAAATATATTCAGTTAATCATGATATAAAACAGAGAAAAGCTGCAAATCCTCCCAATGTAGAACCTGGAACCAGCGACTGGTTGGTATTTTTGCTTGAAGAATGACATATTTTGTTAATTCTAACACACACATACATACATACATACATATATATATACACACACACACACACACACACATACACACACACATATATACACATACATACATACATACATATACACACACACACCTAAAAAAAAAAAATATATAAATGTCTGTATACAAATACTGATGTGATACCAATCAAGCGAGACAAGAGAGAAATAAATGCTGCATGGATGGAATGTGTGTGGTGTCCAGTGTTTGGCTGGCTGCCATGTGAAGTAGCGTCTGATGTCGACTCTATTAACATACCGATGATCTCATCTGACTGGTGAGCCACATACACATACACACACACACACACACACACAGTTTGTGTGAGACAGAGCTTATGTGTAAGCAACGACAATGTGATAGAGACAAACAGCGACGGTGTAATTGCCTCATCCGGGCACTGCTCAGCTATAACAAAGCTTCATGCTGCTTTCGTGGCTGCTGCTTCAAATGTGCGACAGTGTTTTGCTACTGTTTTTCCCCCATAATAGGTCCTCGTGGGCTGTGCGGAGAGTACAGAGGCAAGCTGTCTCGATAAGGCACAAACACAAACACACGCACAGACATGTTGCCAGAACAAACAACATTCATAGAGAACAAAATCTGCTAATTCTGTCTATGTGTCATTGCGGTGCTTAAGGAGGATCCAAAATACTGTCTGGCTTCATTCTTATGTGTGTGTCTGTGTGTATTCGTGTGTTCTGTGTACTGCTGGACTCACCGTTTTCTCTTAAAAGGGGACTTTGGTATATCAGCTACAGGTATCATCTGCTCTCCCGGTCTGACCCACATTATAGGACCGTCGTCACTCTCTGTGGGATTCATCAGCCTCAGACTGGAGAACGTTCCCCATGGAAGAGTCCGCTGTAGCCCGGCAGACAAGGAGAGACGAGGGGAGCGTGGGGGGAGAATCAAAGTTGTGTGTTAGTACTTTCCTCACCAATTCGTCAATGTCTTTCTTTTATTTTATTCCACAGATTCCCAAAAAGAAATCTCATGCGCAGAAATCGACCCCCATGGCAAAACTTGTCACTGGCACCCGAGACGCTTGAGAGGGTGCTGAATCACAGCCAAAGCCCTCGACAGATAGGAAGTGCCAGAGGCTGTGCGTCGCCGTCTTTTGATATTCAGGATATGACGCCACTCCCCCACACTGCATGCAGGAGATTTGAAATGTCAACACAGAATAGCAAACAGAAGAAAAGCTTGTCACTCCTGCGTTTCAGGGACAGCAGTAAACACAGTATTCTGGTGAGCTGTTCCCGCACACAGACATGTCAAAAACAGGACCAACTTCCTGAATCAGAGCTGGAAACTGCATCTAATCACTTTGACACTCCACTTAACGCCTCTACTTTGCCAGCCACCACGGAGAATATTAGGTGTGTTGTTGACGTTTGTGTCTCGCAGTCTCTCTCCATCTGTTTAGTTTGTGGCATTTCCAAATAATCTGTGGTGTAAATGCATCAAAATGTTACCGTACATCCAGAATAAACAGAGTATTTATGAGGAACAAGTAAATTGTGACTGAAGCCTACGTTATACTTCAGGGAAATGGTGTTGTGTGACACTGTTGTCTGCCAACTGAACACTGTCACATATCATCTTGACTAATCCTCTGACAGAGCGCAATGTTGATGGAACAATCATAAAGAAGCGCGGCTGAGTTTTGTTTCGATTTCTTGAATCAACTATTAGCCCACAATGAAACTGAATGTTTTGCAGTAAGAAGAGATCTATGTTTAACTTTGTTGAGAAAACAGAGAAATACGAAAAGTGGTCAGTACATCCTCCGTCCCACAGAAAAGTATCACTCAGTGCTCACTGCGCTTCAGAGTTAAACTCCCGTCTATTTTTTCACTGCAACTCTGCAGTTACGGAATTATTACTCTAAAAAGTAACAGCAAAACGTTTTTTTCAAACTATTGTGGTTATACTTTGCAATGAATCCACAGTTCACAGAACCATGGTGGGGGGGATCCGTACAGATCTTGGATCAATTATGATCCTTTAAACTACTATTAGATGACCATTAGACGACAGAATGTGTCCCATGCTGAAAAATAGCTCCTTACAAAAATGCACTATTTACTTCAGTAACATCTGATAAAAACTACAGCACCCAGCTGTTTAGGACATCATCTAGCTATTTTCAAAAAATGATTCTATACATTTATGATCTGATGTGTTCAGTAGAAACAAATGGACTTAAGGAAAGCAAAAATTATCGAGAGACGGACTAACGTGTGGCCAATTTTGGCCTTTTCACAGGTTTTTTTTATATAAAAATGTTACCCTTTAGTTTAAGTGCAATTCCCTTATGATTTTGCAGTTGCACATTTAAGTCCACAACAGAACTGCTAAAGCTTTGAGATACATTTCCTCTGACCTAATAGCAAAGTAACTTGTTATAAACCGTACCTTCCTCATTTATTTCCATTCAAATACAAGAATCTGCTCTGAGCCCATTTTAAGACCTTTGTCACTTTTTAGCCTTACTGCCATTCATTCTGTGCTGACTCACCTTCAGGAAGGGTGAATCCTCCAACATGCTGAGGAATTCTGGGAAATAATCCCCGACCTCCTCGTCCACGGCTCCCACCAGGCTGATCTGTCTCATGGCCCCAGCTCTGTATGTGCCGTTACTGTATGTTTTCTTCACCTGCAGCAATCACAGGAGAAACACAACATTATGGTGTTATTTTAACACTGTGGCAGCTGGGTGAGACTGGTTTCTCGGCTAAGTGTTTTATTCACTTGAAAGAGGTGCAGGTGAATAACAAGATGGCAACCAACATTTTCTTGCACTCTCAGTGTGTAGCTGAGCGTGTTTAACTCCCCCTGCCTCAGCTACTATCACGCTACAGCTCAGACACTGAGAGAAAACCCTGTTCTGTTCCTAAAAAACACAGGCGAAAACATAACAGAGTTTCTGTGAAATACATGATGCTAGTTGTCCATTCTCTTTACCCAAGAAGTTTACCTTGAATCTTCAGCAGCTTGCAGCTTCAGCAGAGTCATTATGGAGCCTAAATACTCCTGTTGTTTTAAGAGGGGTGGAATGGTAATTGCCCCCTTGTGGTATGTCCTCCTGAATGTAATCAAAGGCTCTTAATATTTTCTGTCAGTAGTCTTCTAAGGCAGCTGTTCTCCACCATTTTGGCCGTTTCGTGACCTTGCCGTAGATGATTTGAATAATTTGTAGAGGTGAAATGATAAGGATAAGTAAATTTAAGAATATAAAACTCAACATGATTTGGGATAGCAGAAATGTTTTTTCTTAATCATCTAGCGACCCCCTCAGATTTGTCTTACCATGGCTAGTGTAGGTCAGGATTGGCAGATTGGGAACTACTGTTCTACATGGCCTTGTATGAGACGTACTCTGATGAAATTACACTTAATGGGTGGTTAATTCTTTCTTTTTAATCTCTTTAATGTCTCTAAGGAGGCATTTGTTGAATCAATTCGATGGTATTAATGAAGGATAAGGGGATTTACCTGCAAGTGGGTTTTTGAAAAATAATAGGAAGTGTTCCCAACATTCAGTTCAATCGGTTACATTAGGTTGTTAGATACTATATTGTTTGATTGCAGGGAGGGGGGGCATGAAATTAAACACAAGACATGGAAGCTGACAAAACAGACACTGTGTGAGTGTGTGTATTGGGGGTTTCACTTGATGTTTCTGCTCCACCGGTGTGACTCAACTGACTGTTTGCTGCTCTTCACTTGGCTGACAGAGCATGGTGTGTGTGTGTGTCTGAGTGTGTATGCCTAACCCGTCTCGCATACCCTTGGCCCTCAACAGTGTCTTTGTGTGTGTGTGCCTGTGTTCGCAGTACGTGCAACATGTGGCCTGCATGCTGTACTCTTGGCTGATCAGGATGTGTGTGTGTTGGCCAGATCCTTGGCTGCTTGCCCTCTAGTGAGTCACCACTCGACAACAAGGCAGAGAGAGAGAGAGAGAGACAGAGACAGAGAGAGAGAGAGAGAGAGAGAGAGAGAGAGAGAGAGAGAGAGAGAGAGACAGAGAGAGAGAGAGAGAGAGAGCTGCAAGCTGAAAAACAAATTTGGGAGAAAAATGGAGGGGAGGATGGAAACAGCTCAAAGGGAAGTGAGGAGGAGAGAGGGTGAGCAGGGGATAATGAAGGTCATTCTTTTGGAAGGTAAAAGAGAGTAAGGACGTGGAAGATAAGGGGTGGAGGAGAGAAGGGGACAATAGAGGAGGAGACGCCAGATATGATTAAGAAAAAGGAAAATACACAAAAAGGAGAGAGGGAGTGTGACAAGGAAGGAAGAAGGGAGATGAGGACAGGTTCGAGAGGATGGGAGGAGGGAGGCGGAGAAGAGGGGATGTAGGTAGAAACAATGAACTGGAAAAAGACAGTTGGGGAAGTCGCTCGGCAGCTCCCAGGTGCGTCTTTGAGCAAGGCACTAGATCCTCAAATAGCTGCCCAGAGGCCAATCGTGCAAGAATACAGATCACAACGGCTCTAGTGTGTGTGTGTGTGTGTGTATGCGTGTGCGCGTGTCTGTCCGCTTTTAATAGGGAAACACTGTTTGTCCAGTAGCGTGGCTATTTATACAAGCTGGATAATGAGGAGAGATTGGCCATGAAACCTGGATTATGTGGGGCATTAACGACAGCAAAAGGTTGAGATCAAAATAACAACTCATGACAGTGGTCACAGGATGAAGTGACAAAGATAATTATAGGTCTTCATAATCAGCTTTAGTTACTCTTAATGTTTGGCAAACATTACAATATTTCAACCTTGAAATATTTACAATCTTGATATGGATCCCTTAGGTTATTTCCACTACTTGCCTGTAATTTCTGTACTGGAATTTCTTGTTACTTATACATATAAGATGTAAACACTGATTCCTGTGTAATTATGCTTATTGATAGGTGGTAGGGCTGCAACTGATGCTTATTTTCATTGCCAATGAATCTATTGTTTATTTTTTATGATTAATGGATGAACTGTTTAGTCTATAAAATTTCACAAAAAATTGTTAAGTCGCATTTTCCCAGAGCCCAAAGTGACATCTATAGCTTGTTTTGTTTAAACGACTAAATCCAAAAGATGTTTACAGTGATATAAAACAGAGAAAGGCAACAAATTCACACATTTCAGAAGCTGGAACTGGGCAAATGTTCGGCATTTTTGTTTATTAAAAATTACAAAAGACTGATAGATTATCAAAATTGACTGTGCCGTTATTAGCAGTGGCTGAAGAGACCAGTCGGCGCTGCAGGTAAGCTACAGCACACAGAGATGCTGTCTTACCAGTAGTAGTGTGTAGTGAATAAGCTCCGGAAACACTGTGCAAATTGGTCTAATTACACGCATCAAATAACTGCCTATTGGCGTTTATTTAAATCGACGTTAAATTAACAAAATAACTTGTATTTATCGTGCATGGATGGGCCTAGCCACGTGGTTGTGTTTGCTTGTTCACTTCATTTGACTGCCTCTGCGCCCCGACGCCGTGTGTGATATCCTCATAAGATGATGATGATGTCTAAAAGCTTGAAATACTCCGCACGCACGCAAACACATCACAACTTTAAATAGTCTGACTGAGTCAGTGACCTAGATACTAGAGAGAGAAGTGTTTGTGAGCACACACGGATTCAAATGCCTTCATGCTTAAAAGCATTTGTGAGCCTTCCACAATGTTTCTCAGGCAGTGTGTGTGTGTGTGTTTGAGAGTGTGTGCACTCATCCTACTGCATACTTGAATTGTGTGTGCTTACGAGCGTCTCTTTTCCCTGCTAGTGTGTGTTTACACAATGCATAATTTAACAGCAGAATAACCCCCACGTTGTCAACAAAGCACTAGCACAGGAGGAGTATTCAAAAACACTACCTCTGCCTCAAATAAATGGAGAAATTCTACAGTCTGTGATTCACTCGTGCCCCCCCACACAGCCTATAATAAGTGAAGGCAAACAGAAGGAAACAGGAAATGTGATAGACTTCCTCTGAGTGGTCTTGTTCAAGATGCTCCAGTCCTTCCTCACCGCCGCGTACGTGCCTGTAAACACACTCGATGGGCAAACGTGTGACTACAAATGACCAACATCATATTTACAGTACTTGCTTGTCTCGCTGCTAAACTTGAAAATGAGCTTTATTTAAAAAGGGAAATACCGCTACACAAAAACACAAGACAATAAATAAATACTAAGTAGGGGTGTGGGGAAAAAAAATCAATACAGCATAGTATCGTGATATTTTCCATGGCAATACTGTATCGATACACGGACGCCAGGTATCGATCTTTTGTTATATAAATCGCACATGAGAATTTAACTTTTTGGTACTAAAATAATATCTTTTATAATATCTCTTATAAAATAAAATCTCTTGCTTTTTCAGTATACTAGAAAGCTCCACAGGACCATATAGTGGACTGAAAAAGTGATACGAACAAACAGATCTTTTTAGATTAACAGATGTTGACAAAGACCTAATTTGAAGTTGGAAAAGGGTAATAAATTGCAATATATCTCAATATATTTAACATTGCAATAAAATCGAATCGCAGCATAAGTATTGTGATAATATCATATTGTGGGGCCTCTGGTCATTCCCACCCCTACTAACAAGTGGAACAATCTGGACACAATTTATTTTTTTTTTTTTTTTAAAAAAGGACAAACATTTTTTCTACACCATTGGAACATTATCTAAATTGCCTGCTTCTCATTTTGTATTCAAGGTCCGCAAATTCACAAGATTAATTTTCATATATAATTATCCTCCCTGTCATCGCTCCCCTGCTGTCACTTTCTTCAGCTAACAGATTATCTCACTCCCTCTTGCTGTTTTACTCAGTTCTATTTTTCTCTCTCTCGCCTCCCATCAGCCTCTCCTTCTCCTCCTCCTGACTCTCTCCCTCATAACACTCCAGTCCCTGGTGCGAATTAGATCAAGCCTCTCTCTTTTCCTTCTCTGGTTCAGCCGCTGTAACCACTTGTTAATTCTCTAACGAGTTTCCATCCCCTTGATGACACCTCCTTCACTCTCTCTGGCTCAAGTTCATGTCGTGACATCATCACGCTACTCTACCCGACCTCTCCCTGACCTCTGTTAGTCTGTCTGCTTCTCTTCTAGTCAGTCTCTACGGGTACTAAGTCTATTAGTCCATTGCTGTGTCTGCGTCACAACAGAGCTTCTGACTGGTGCCTCAGACACAAAAGTCGTCTTACATAATCTCTCCCTCAGCTTACCCACAATCACAGACATGTGAGAGGACAAACACACTTTGAATTCATATAACGTAATGGTTGCTTTCCACCTTCATTTAAATCCAGTTTAACACTAGGACTGTGTCAAAGCTAAAGCATGGTTTAAACGCTGCAGCGCAAGACTGATGCAACAATGAAAGCCTGGGCTTGTTTTGCAAACATTGACTGTGGTGGAGAGACGGTTTGGAGGACGAGTGCTACAGCGCTGCCTCCAGGTTAAAGAATGTGTAAGTGTAGGAGCAGGACACCTGCAGTGGTGGAGGCTGGAGTCAGAGAAGCTGAAGTTGGCTGTGATGATGTTTTAACCCCAAACTGCCAACTGATGTAAACGAAACATGTGTTTTTATCGAATGGAGAGCACAGATTCAAAAGGGATTTTCCCCAGACAGAAAGCTAGTAATGGTGCTAGCTCTAGCCTTGCTTTGATCTTATGATGTAAATGTCACCATGCTTTATAAAATTAGCATGCTAGCAGGAAAACGGCAAGTAGATTTTGTTAATTCTTCCATTTGTTTATTTGGGGCTTAACCTTTATGTATTTACATCTATAGATATTTACTCAAAAGAATCTAATTATTCCTTCATGAGTACTCCAGCTAAGCAACAATTTATACTGAAAGAAAATATGTTCTACATTTTCACCAGGTGTTGTTGTCCTAATTAATTTGTTTTATGCAAGAATGCACTAAATGAATAAACGCTATTCAAGGTTTTAAAGCTTTCTTATTTGGCTGCAGGTGAACTGATATAAGATAAATATTGTTTTCTAACTTTCCCTCTTTGTCTTTGCATTCCTAGGAAATACATTTTCTTTTTGGCTTAACAGGATAACATTCTGTTGATAAAACATTTCTAATAAATTAACCAGTGAACTGCTTGATGCAATAACTTTTCAAATTTGTCTGACCATATACATTTTTCCAGTCAGGCCCCTAAACATGCTAGCTGTTAGCTAGTTGACATGTGGGGCACTGTTGTGAATGCTCTTATAAAGCTATGTGAGTTTACACATGAGCACAATGTGAGCGCAGATTAATATAGTCTGTTTTTTTTTTAAATTTGTGTTAATCTGATGTTGTAACTACATTATTACACTCAATGACTAAACAGTAAAGACCAAATTACCTCACCGTGGAAGCACACCATGTATTGACTGTCGAGCTGTACTTGCCCTGAGAAAATGGAGTGCTGTAATCTTCTATAATCCTTAGCACCACTGAAAATGCCTTCAGTCAGGTACTGAATACAAAATACTCACAGACGGCCCGAGCAGCAGCAAAGCAGCTTTGATGCCTGCAGTCATATTCTAACATCACTTTGCGCATATGGCTCTTTTTTTTAATTTAATTAAAATATATGTTGTTAGATAAACGTGGAAGTGTGTGTGTCTCACATTCCACAAAACAAATGTTTTTTTAAGACTAAGAATGAACTGATCTATACGGGAGAATAAACACAAGTCAAAGTCAAACAGTTAAAAAAAATACTTTCCTTCTTTTCCCTCACACACACCAAAAAACAGCTGTCCAGTAATTTGCCGTAGTGAAACAGTGAACCAAACAACAGAGCAGAAACATAAAGGATGGATGAAAGAGAGAGCAGCAGACTAACACAGAGGGAGGGACACACAAAGTAGAGAAAAATGTTTGAGAGAAATCATTCATCTGTGTGTGTGTGCACCTGTGGTGTATATATCAGTGTGCATGCTCACATCTGTGTGTGTAGACTGTACGTCTACTTCCCAAGGTCACTGCTGAGAGCTTGGAGGGAGGGGGGAAAATTAACAAGACCAGTGGACAATGACGTTAGCCCTGCAAGGAACGCTGCTCTTAAAGGGACAGCTCGGGATGCCGGTTTGCAGGGAAAACTCAATGTAGATGACGGCTTAATTAATTGGTTATTTGGATTTAATTTATTCAGAAACATGCAGAGATCAAGAATTTGTTTGTTGAAGCAGAACTGCCCAGAACTGAAACAAACACACAGAACAACATTATGAATATTTCATTCTAGGGGGGGGGGGGGCAGAAAGAAATAGCCAGAAGGAGAGCGATAGAGAGCATAAACTGCTCTACCCCCGTAGTACTGCACACACACAGACAGTGTGGTCACTGGTGCTGCCTTTACTCACATTGAAAAAGAACAGGCAGTATCTCTATACAAAGCCACTCAGGAGGTTTGAGGCAACAAAAGGCTTTTCATTACTGAACTACAGACATGGGACAACTCTAAATGAAGAGGTCTCGCTGTGTGGCTGTGTGCTCAGAGGACATAACCCAACAACACACACTCACACAATTCTTGTTTTTCCAGTTGCCTTCAAAAGGTTGTATAGTATAGTGAGGAGTAGGTGAGAGACAGCTAACTACAGCGGCTCCCAGACTTGTGCTTTTGAAAAGAAAAGAGAAACACCTTTTCGAGCCTTCCTGACAGCAGTCATCTCTCACAGTCTATAGTTTCACTTCTTGCTTTCTCATCCTCTCAATTTGCTTGCTTTTGTGTCAATTTCCTATTCTTATATCAACCTCTTCCTCTCATCATCTTTCACCTTTTGCTGTCACCCCTTGTATCTCTGCTGACTTTCCTCTTCTCTCTCTACGTATGCTGTCCTCTTGCTTTCCATTTCCTTTTCCTGCCCTTTCTTGAACTTTGCTTTGTAAGATTAAGTAGCACTGAAGTGAGAGCAGCCCCCACCTGTGCACTGCACACAACTCTGCCGTCGTCGTTAATGTCAACATTTAGTCAGAGAAGTCAGACATCGGTATAAATGCCAAAGGAGCTGTTTAACTCTGGACAGGTGGGGGTAGATGTTTCAACCAGATGGTTAAATCCTCAACAATACTTCTTCATTCACACACAATCGAACCTGAATGCACACTAACCCATGGAGACAAAAAAAGTCCCCACCTAGAGACAGCTTTTTGAGAGATGTGGTTGTAAGATTCAGGTTATAATTAGGTTAGGGTTAGGTATGTAGTTGTGATGGTTAAGGTTAGGGCAAGGGGTTAAGGAATGCATCATGTCAGTGAGATGTCCCCAAATGTGATGGAGGCAAAAACGTTGCAGTTGTAACTTCATCGTGCAATCATCTTTTCTGGTTGCACTTCACCTACAGTGCATGCCTGATACTCACCCAAATAGATTTTACACAGTGGACAGAAAGTAAGAGGCTTGGAAGCACTTGGCCCTCGCTATTTTGGACTTCAGACTTTTTTATTTTTACTCTTCATGTCTGAAAGCTCACCATCTGCTCCAGCAGAACAATCAAACAACAACAAAAAAAATGTGTAAATCAGTTTTTCAGATGATTGTTATGTCTGTTCAGTTGCAGCGTTGTGTGTCATCATGAGTCCTGCCTACCCCATATTGTCCTCCAAATCAATGTTTCCGTGTGTGTGTGTGTGTGTGTGTGTGTGTGTGTGTGTGTGTGTGTGTGTGTGTGTGTGTGTGTGTCTGACTAACCTGAGAGTAGAAATTTGACATAGTGGTGGTTTCTATGTCCTTCTTTCCCAGTATTTCCATTTTGACTGGAGCTGATGGGAACTTATTTGAGAAGTAGTCCAAGAAGTCAGGCAGGTAGCTCGCTTCTCCGTGGACAATTCCCATGACGTAATGAGCTGCCTGGAAGGACAGGAATAAAATGGGTGGGGGAAATCACATTATACATCAGGAGTACCTACAAAAGTGCTCAATTAATTTTCAGCACGTGCATCGTTCTGCACTGAACTCAACATCCATGGATCAATCTGATCAATCCATGCCGTACCTGGGATGAGTCCTCGCTGAAAGACAAGGTGACGAACTCCTGGGCGAATCTCTGCCTCTGGCCCATGGAGAGAGAGGACAGCTGGGACGTGTAGGCGTGAGCCACCAAGGCCCCTCCGTTAGGCTGGTTCTCTATGTGGATGTACGGGGCAAACTCCAGGCCCGCCATGCCAGGATAGGTGCACTGCGGCTGGTGTTTGGCCGGGGAAGGTTGAGAGGCCTTGATGGAGGACGTCGGAGAGTTGAGGAGAGAGGAGTTAAAGACAGATTTGGAGGCAAGGGGAGGGGACGAAGGCAAGACATGTGCAGTTTTGTTGTTAGGTGGAGGATAAACGGGTAGAGGGGACTTGAATGGAGACAGGGAGGAGTTGTGTGTGGGATTGGAGGATGGAGAAGAGGAGGTGGGGGGTGGAGAGGAAGGAGGGAGGAGAAGAAGGCCAGCACAAATGGTTTGGCAGGAGCGGTGGTACATCTTCACTCGTTTGTGTTTCTCCCCCTCTTTGTGTTTCTTCTTCTTTTTCTTCTTCACTTTTTTGATTTGCAGCTCCTCTGAGTTGATCTTGGCCTTCTCTTTTTCATCTGGACAGAGTGGCGCGCAGAGAGAGAGAGAGAGAGAGAGAGAGAGAGAGAGAGAGAGAGAGAGAGAGAGAGAGAGAGAGAGAGAGAGAGAGAGACCTTATTATTTAAAGGAAAGAGGCTTTTTACAGGAGAGGACATTTTTAAAAGATCAACACAGAAATATGAAACAAAAATCGTTATTTTGAAAAGGCTTAAAGGGAAGTAGGGAGACACATCAGTCATGCAAGCTTAAAAAGAAAAGTGTCCCGTCATGTGTGATGGATCACCAAACCAATCCTCAGCCCTTTTTATTCCCCTGCTGTAAGAAGACACTTTTCAATGTACTTTACAGGGAATCAGCTGCTTTTGCAATGACAACTGCTCAGAAAAAGGCCTCCAGTAAAATTAGGTGCAAGAGAAAATCTGTAAATGCAGAGCTGATTATGCGCCAGAGTCTGTCAAAGGTATTTAAAAAAAACAAACAAACAAACAAATACCTGACTTTTGTTGCATTAGTTATCTTTTTTAATTATCAACACAGACTGATAGACAGACAGATAAATTCCCTCATTAAGAAACTACTCAACAGGAAATAATGAGTCTAATGAACTATTTTAAGTAAATGTAGACAGATAACTCATAGCTTTTCCCAGATGGTGTGCATCTCCGCGGGTGCATGCATAAAATAAATTGAAGACATGGAATCCCTCGAGAAAAACCGATACGACTAATCCAGGAAACAAGCTTTCGAGTGGCACCGTAAATGCATGTCTCTTGAATGCTTGAGGCGGGACAAAGTGGGACATGCTAATGTATGCACTGTGTTACTGTATGTTTCGTGTCTGAGTGTGAATGTGTGAGAGCTGTTCCCATGTGTTTGCAAACGTGTTGCTGGCTGTTTCATTCGTGCCCAGTGGTTGCGTAAGTAAGTGGACACGTATATATTTACTGTAAGTGTGTGCACACGTGAGTCACTTTGATAGAGGTGCTGCTGCCTCAGCATGATTCAAATATCAGCTATCATCTCATTCATACACACAAACACCTTCAGTCTAGTTTGTACCCTGCACACGTTCAACGCCAGATAAGGGAGGCATGAGAGACAGAATGAAAAACAGCAGGCGCGCAGAGAGAGAGAGAGAGAGAGAGAGAGAGAGAGAGAGAGAGAGAGAGAGAGAGAGAGAGAGAGAGAGAGAGAGAGAGAGAGAGAGAGAGAGAGAGAGAGAGAGAGAGAGAGAGAGAGAGAGAGAGAGAGAGAGAGAGAGAGAGAGAGAGAGATCGCTGTACAATACCCAAGCTACTAATCCAAAAGCTCTTTACCCTACATGTCAACCCTCCCCCCAATTCTCTCTACGCGCGCGCGCGCACACACACACACACACACCACACACACACACCTTAACCTTCATCAGTCCACAGAGGAGCAGCACGATAAGGAGAAAATATGTGAGGTGTGATACATTTGTTGGATATTGCGATGGTGGCATGAAATGTAATAAATAGATTTAAGTACGCAATTTCACCGTTTCACGCTTGTGCAAACTTCAAATTTAGATACTGAAAAGACATCTTGTTTTTTTAGTAATAAAAGCCTTCCAGCAATGGTTCCTTCCTTTGTGGCTTATTGTGGGCAGGTTACAGGTAGCTTTCTTTTGCCGTGAAACACATGTATGTTTTGCACAGCACGTACACTGTCTTGTATGAGCTTGTGTGGTGGGATAGGCTGATTTATGTACAGAAACTCGAGGAACAAAAGTGATGTCATGGTCAGAGAACAAACAAAAATCTCCCCGTTTAGATTCAGCAATGGCTTACCAAGAGTAAGGTTGCAACTAACAATTATTTTCATTATCGATTAATCTGCTGATTTTTTATTATTCTTTTGGTATATTCAAAAATCCCAAACTCACAAAATTCATCAATGTTTAATTCACAATGATATAAAACACGGTAATGCAGAAAATCCTCACATTTAAACATCTATAACCACAGATGTTTTGCTTTTTGCTTTAAAAAATGACTCTTTTTGTGGCTCAATAAAACCAATCAATTGACTAAATATTTCTGATCCAATCAAGAGCCATATGACCAGCTGTAACACCCCAACAGTAAATCCCCTACCTGTTCACTTAACTAACTGTTACTCTAAAAAAACATGTATTTATAATTTATGATCTCATTAATAAAACCTCCTTCGTTAGGGTTCTATAAGAGGGTTATAAGTCAGATAAGCTCCCATTCAAAACACACACACACACACACACACACACACACTGAGTGGTAGTAAAGCAGCCTTACTGTCAGAGGAGCTGTTTGCTGCTTATTGATTTCCTCTGGCTGCCTCTCTCTCTGTCCCCCTTTTCATTTGTAAACTTAACACTCTCCCAGTGATTGAATTTCCAACTTCACTTCCCTGACTCTATCACTCCCAACATTTGCAAACTTAACACTCCCTGATTAAATACTATTACTGAAAAGCTACTCTCTGGTGGGTAGAGCCTCCTACTCATTTCTCCCTCGACGCAATATCCCACCCTGCATCCCAGAGTGTCTCTTTTATCCCAAATACACATGATTAAAAGCTGGGCTCTCTAGCGAGAGGACTGCAGAATTAAGACACGCTGCCTCTTCCCCTCGCTCAATTCACCTTTCCAATCCGACCTAACACTCCCCTCATACCGAGAAGATGAGGCCGCCCGGCCGTTCCACAGAAAGTACGAAAATTGAAAGGATAAGCCAAATTATCCATCTGTAATTTTCATCTGCAGCCACTGGCTACGGTACGTTGCCATAGCTTTGCTAAGTCCTTTACATGTCACAGCGTGGTCATACCAACACAGACACTGCGGATCTGACCTGAGTTTGGGGACAAATCCAATCAATCAATCAGAATAAAATTGGTGTCCATTAATACATGTGAGTGTGCGGTGTGTACCTTGTCTCTCTGAAAAGGTGAAGCAAACAGAGAGAGGCATGGATATTATGTCAGCGCTCTGCAAGTAATTCACTACTGCCAAAAGGTTAACAAAGACACTCGCCACCGCATTCATGAAGTGCACACCTGGGAACAGACTTGTGCACACAGCAGAGCCAGACTGATACACCTGTAGGCTGACAGCAGCATTTTTATACAGTGTAATTTTACTTTTTTTATTTCAAGGTTTAAAAAGCTCTATTGTATTTGTATTTTACTCACAATGGAGTTCTACTGTTCAAAATGTACCATTATCGTCTACAGTACTGTTGAGTGAAGTTGTTCAACAGTAAAACATCCTGCTTCAGTATGTACTGATTTTTAACTGCCTCAAATATTCACGTTAGTATCAAAGTAGTATCAAGCCATTTTTGTTGATTTTGGTCTCAGCAAATCACATATTAGTCATATAGTAGGAGAGAAATAAAGAAAACTGTGTTTAGGGTTTTAACTAACAGTTGTTTTTTGTCAGTTGTTTTCATAATATGATGTTTTTTTCCTTCATTATTATTAATTATTATTCATTTACTGCAAAAAATGCCTGAAAATAATTAAATAATCCATCACAACATTTGTGAAGCTGGAACCAGCAAATATTTGGCTTCATTTTAGATAAATCACTTTAATAGTTATCGATTATGAAAAATTGTTGGCGACTGTTGTTCTGTCAATCGACTTATCAATGAACTAGCTCTAATGTCGTCCATCTCAGTCACTGCTAATGTTGAGAGTCTTTTCCTACTGTTATTCAAACATTTCTTTTGGTAGGTATCACATTATAAAACACTTTCCTGTCCTAAAGTGAGAACAGGTGAAGGGGAGATAGGCACAATTACAAATACCATCGCAAATACAAGCAGAGTACAGACACAGATAGAGATGGATAGAGTAGCAAATTAGCAAAGAGAGGGAGAGAGTCAACTAAGTGCCGGGGATCAAATTCCCAAAGGAAAAACAACAATACAATAGTTACAACCACTGACACGTTGTGCTATATTGGGGCTTTTATGGCGACCCCATGTTATTAAAATTTTTTGAACACCTACTGGGATGCAGAGCAGCTGCGTGGGCTACTTATATGTTACAAACATAAAGATGATAAAGTGTACAGTGTGAAAGTGGGTCGCTTAATAACGTTAAGTGACTGGACTGAAGGACATGAATGCTTCTAATGTTTTGGTTCCCGAGATCTGGTTTCATTTTACTCAACACATTCAAATGTTTAGCGTTACCATCCTGGCATTTCTTTTTATTTAACTGCAGTGCCTTGCGAAAGTATTCGGCCCCCTTGAACTTTTCGACCTTTTGCCACATTTTAGGCTTCAAACATAAAGATATAAAACTGTAATTTTTTGTGAAGAATCAACAACAAGTGGGACACAATTATGAAGTGGAACGAAATTTATTGGATATTTCAAACCTTTTTAACAAATAAAAAACTGAAAAATTGGGCGTGCAAAATTATTCAGCCCCTTTACTTTCAGTGCAGCAAACTCTCTCCAGAAGTTCAGTGAGGATCTCTGAATGATCCAATGTTGACCTAAATGACTAATGATGATAAATAGAATCCACCTGTGTGAAATCAAGTCTCCGTATAAATGCACCTGCTCTGTGATAGTCTCAGAGGTCCGTTTAAAGCGCAGAGAGCATCATGAAGAACAAGGAACACCCAGGCAGGTCCGAGATACTGTTGTGGAGAAGTTTAAAGCCGGATTTGGATACAAAAAGATTTCCCAAGCTTTAAACATCCCAAGGAGCAATGTGCAAGCGATAATATTGAAATGGAAGGAGTATCAGACCACTGCAAATCTACGAAGACCCGGCCGTCCCTCTAAACTTTCAGCTCATACAAGGAGAAGACTGATCAGAGATGCAGCCAAGAGGCCCATGATCACTCTGGATGAACTGCAGAGATCTACAGCTGAGGTGGGAGACTCTGTCCATAGGACAACAATCAGTCGTATACTGCACAAATCTGGCCTTTATGGAAGAGTGGCAAGAAGAAAGCCATTTCTTAAAGATATCTATAAAAAGTCTCGTTTAAAGTTTGCCACAAGCCACCTGGGAGACACACCAAACATGTGGAAGAAGGTGCTCTGGTCAGATGAGACCAAAATCGAACTTTTTGGCAACAATGCAAAACGTTATGTTTGGCGTAAAAGCAACACATCACCCTGAACACACCATCCCCACTGTCAAACATGGTGGTGGCAGCATCATGGTTTGGGCCTGCTTTTCTTCAGCAGGGACAGGGAAGATGGTTAAAATTGATGGGAAGATGGATGGAGCCAAATACAGGACCATTCTGGAAGAAAACCTGATGGCGTCTGCAAAAGACCTGATACTGGGACGGAGATTTGTCTTCCAACAAGACAATGATCCAAAACATAAAGCAAAATCTACACTGGAATGGTTCACAAATAAACATATCCAGGTGTTAGAATGGCCAAGTCAAAGTCCAGACCTGAATCCAATCGAGAATCTGTGGAAAGAACTGAAAACTGCTGTTCACAAACGCTCTCCATCCAACCTCACTGAGCTCGAGCTGTTTTGCAAGGAGGAATGGGCAATAATTTCAGTCTCTCGACGTGCAAAACTGATATAGACGTACCCCAAGCGACTTACAGCTGTAATCGCAGCAAAAGGTATTAACTTAAGGGGGCTGAATAATTTTGCACTCCCAATTTTTCAGTTTATTTGTTAAAAAAGTTTGAAATATCCAATAAATTTCGTTCCACTTCATGATTGTGTCCCACTTGTTGTTGGTTCTTCACAAAAAATTACAGTTTTATATCTTTATGTTTGAAGCCTGCAATGTGGCAAAAGGTCAAAGTTCAAGGGGGCCGAATACTTTCGCAAGGCACTGTACATACCATGGAAAGTGACTGAAGTGACAGAACAAGAACATAGTAACACGTGATTTTGTCCTCGCTCTCACACAAGTTCTTTCTGCTCACACATTTAGAAATAAAAAAAAAAAACCATTAAAAAACACAATCTACTGAAGAGGATTGTCATATCAAGACAATGTTAACAATATCATATCACAACATGTCTTGCAAATATCAAGTAAATGTTTAATGCAAACAATCGTTTTTAAATACTTATTTATATTGTATATACCAGGGTTTCTTCTTGTTTCACGAACATAACACAAAAATATGGAAGTATGATAGAAAACCACTAGGGATAGCCTAAAATGATTTATTATATCACATGTGTAGTACTTCCAAGCAGTATATAATTAATTCAGTTGATGCGACCTGGATCCAGATGAGTGGCATAAAATGAATTGATGGATTAACCAATTAAAAATGATTAATTAATTTAAATTAAGCTAAAACTGACATTTGCCCATTATGAAACTACTGTTAGGTAACAGTAGTGACAGGGCTTGCTATAGATCTGATGGAAACGCCACAAATAAAAGGACTGAACAGCCTCCTGCACAAATATTCCACTGTCAACAGCCCACAAAATTATTTTATGACCACTATTGATGCTTACGGCAGGAAAGAGAAATATTATGTATTTTTGTAAATAAATACATTTGTAATACCTTCTGAGGCCTACACCAACTAAAATTCTATCAACTTTTTAAGTATCTTTGTAAATGGAATACTTTTTGGTTTTGGACTTTTGGTTGGACAAAAAAAGCAATTTGAAGACATCACCATAAATATATATATTTTTTAAACTTTCAGCCTGACATAAATCACTTTGTTGGCGTGCATGTGTGTTTCCACCAACCTTTAATGGGCTGCTTGACTTCACCGTTCTCCCTCTTGATCTCGTTTATCACTTTGTGCTTCTTCTTCTCCTTCTCTTTCTCTCTGTCTTTCACCTTCTTCTTCTCCCTCTCCTCCTGGTCTCTCTCTTTCGCCTTGTCCTTGGTAGAGTGCTCTGTGGAAGCAGAGAAGGAAAGGTTTCAGGTCTTGGTGGTAGAAACACCTTACTGCACCCTTCATCTTGGCCATCACCCTTAAATTTTCCTTAATCTTGTCGGTCTTCTTCCTACGAAAATGTTTGGCTTCTCCTTCCCTGCTCTACCGAGCCTCTACTCTTATCTCTCATGTTTCCTCGGCACTGTAATTACCTTCCAGTTCCCTTCAAGACCGCAGCCGTCACTCCGCAACTTCACTTCATAAACTCATCAGGATATCCTGCGCATTGCTTTACCCCAAAACCAATCCCTGTCTCAATGTTCTGCCTCTTCTAGTTTCAATATTCTAAAATCCTCCCACTGCTTTTTGACTCGTTTTATTTTCTCTGTCAGCGCTTCTCCGTCACACAGAATCATTTGAGTGTTGAGGGAATATTGAGTGTTGAGGGCTCGAGAAATTGGAGTGCACTCGCTGTGGATGAGAGCATCAGTTTAAAATGTAAATATACCATCACGCACACCTCTTCAGTTTTTGGGAGTGCTTTCTAAAGGCAAGGCATGTCTAAGTGTGGACGGATGTAAATCAACACCTCTCACCTCCAGCCGAGCTAAGAAAATTTCCCCTTTCATAAAATTACTTTTATAATTTTAATCAAATCTTTTATACCCCTCCTACTTTGATTCTTCATTCCCATTAATTTCCCATTAAAGAAAAAAAACTCCCTTTTTTTCCCCCGCACTAGTTCTTTTGCTGATTCTTTCTTTTCCTTCCCAAAGAACTTTTTTCCCCTCTTTGAACTCAGTCAGATCCGTCTTTAAAAAAGGAAGCAGTGTTTTCAGGCTGTTCTCTCTCCTGTGGACGTGGGGAGTGGGAAAGTGAACGCAGTGGGGTTGGACTCGCTGTTTGCGGGATCAAAGGAGAAAATGCTTTGAAAGTAAAAAGGCTTAAAGGAGCGGTAGGAGAGGTACATCGATACACTCTTTTTAATGATTGTGTTTAAATAAATACTGTGGCATTTTGAGGCTTAATGGGTCGGTTTTCTCACTTAACATGCAGGTAGTCATGCCCCCACATACAGTGTGGTTAACAGTAGAAATGCCAAGAATGTTAATAAACCATTTTAAGAACTCTGCTGCAGAATTTACCAGACACCGTGAGCTTCCTGGTGGAAGGAAAAACAGCATGTTTCAAAACATCAATTTAGGTCCACAGGATACTGCCTTAGAAAGGAGAGCTCATTCAGTTCAACTGCCAGATTTATAAAAACATGTCAGACCATGCCGGAGTGGTAACAATCATGAACTGATGAATGAACCCAAGTGGCTGACCTGGCTTTAAATACACTGGAGGGCATACTGATAACAAAGAAGAGACCATCCCATTGGATACAGGGTCAAAAGTTCAAACTGAGTAACTAAATGTCAAACAATGTTGATTTTGTTCGGGCAGCACAGTACAAAACTAGAGGCGTAAATGAATCAGCCATTAATGTGAACCATGAAACTGAAACTTCTTTTTTTTTTTTTTCTTGTTTTTTTTCTGACTTTCTCACAGCAGCCGCTTTTGAAGGGGAACCCAGCAGGTGTTTTTTGCTGTTTGGATGATCACAGAAGAGAAAAGACTTTGAAAGACAGAAGGCCAGAGGCAGGCTGGTGTCACACCAGCACCAACTGCTGTATAGACGATGGCATCGTCTATTGGCCCAACCCTATTCGTTATCCATGTTGCTGTCACTCCTGGAAATCCAGGCTGATGTTGTAGTTTTCTTCCAGAGAGGGGTCATGTGATGGGTGCCTGACAAATCAGGGAAGGATAGGCCTTGACTGATAGGACCCAATCAGGAAGCCAAATGTGAGTGTCTGCATCATCATTTTCAAAGTCCTCCGTTTTCACCTGTGTGTACTAATACATTACCCCGGTTTCAAAACAAAAACGGAGTCAGAAGCATTTTCAAACTTTCCCGTTTTAGGTGGTCGGATTCTGCGTTTTAGTGTGAGGTAAATGTAGCAAAAGTGCTGTGTTTTAAAATGAAAACATAGTAATGTGAATGTAGCCTGTAGTCCAGCCAGGTTTGATTATGTGTTAGCAAAGACGGGCGACCTGTCCAGCCCCTCTCTGTGACGCTGAACAGGATGAAAACAAAATAAATGAAAGAATTCTATTTAACTGACAAACATTAATGTTGTAATTTTATTTTATTTACATGACTTCAATTTAATGTTCTGAGTACCTGATTTTATGACCGGCAAACTGTTTCTTTCGATCTCTGAACATCTTTCCCTTGAAGTTTGTTGTGAATCTAATTAACAAACAGAATTATGCAAATTCGGTTTCCTGATGCTTTGTGGAGGAATGTGAAGGCTTCAAAGATTAGACATAGTGAGAGCTCACCACTGTGAACAAGAGCAGTCCCACGTGAACAAAAGTGACTCACTGTGGCAAACTGGGATAAAAGGAAACAGGTAAAAGCCTTCCAGGTCAACAATGTGCGTGTGCATAATATTTAAGTCTGTAGGGTGAAAACGGTTACATTCAAAACATGTGAGATATACTATATCACTTCTCATATCAGTCTGCCATCAGCAGCTCAGTTGACATTAACCTGAGGCTGATAGGGGAGGGAAGATGGAGCTGCCCAGCCAGGCGACCAAGGTACAAAATAATTTGAGATTTTTTTTGATCGGTGTTGTTGGACTCACTATAAAACTACATGTAAACCTGCCCACCAGGAAAATCCTGCTACTCCAGATGGTCAGTCCACCCCCGCTGGTGTGGCAAATCCATGCTTCACCATTCAAGCTGATTTCACAGTAATTTAGCAATAAGGTTCACATAGTTTTTGTCATTCTAATGAATTGCTACTGCAGAGTTAAGTGTCTTGTAATTTTTGGGAATGAACAAATGGCCCTGCCCACAGTAACTTCATTGTGTGCTGATTGCAGCTAAGCTTAATTTTCTCCCCCCCTTCGCTGTACACAGATGAGCAACCCCAGATATAGTCAGGGATTCTGTCAGCATGGTGCATTTACATGCACACAAAAAAAACTACTTACTGCAAAGTCAGAAATTTACATGGTTCACAACCATCCCACTTCCCAAGTAACACAGGTTTACATGACTTATAGGCTAGCTAGTAATTAGAAAATAGATGGATTTCATTTGGCCCACTGTTGTACAACTTGATAAAGTTGTAAAGTACCTTCATGACTTATTCAGTTCTGATTTATCTGACTAAAAAATAAATGTGAGTAGGATAACCTTTAGGAGAACTGCATTTGATTAGAATTATAATATCAGACTGCATGCAAATACCCTGGGTGTCAACAACAGGCCACACAGCTGTATACTGGTCTTGCTGAGGATTAAACCTGCCTGTGACCTTTGAGTTAAACAACAACTTCTTTCACACTAATACAATAATGGGTCCTTATCCTGGCCCACTTCTTCACTGCGCTTTGTCAGAATCAAGTCTCTTATTTCAATACCAAATGTAACCAGGAGTCACTGCTCCCTGGCCTTCAGCCTCTGCTCCAACAGCAAACCACTAATAATATTACTGCTACTCCCTTCCAACCAGGTTGGAGCACAATCGGCTTCAGAACGGCGCTCCCAAAGCTGCCAGGACTTGCTCTCCAGCTCAAGGACTCTTTCCAGAACCGGGCACAAAACTTGTGTGCTCCTGTTGAACAGCAGTCTGTCTAACCACTGGGCCAAACATGTATTAAAAAAACACAAATTTAAATTGTGGTTTTCTTCAGTGCCATCTTAAGACCGTGTCGACTGCAGCTGTGTCACAGAGTCGGCAGACTGACACACTGTTACCAGTTCTTAGAGGAAGGTGCAGCTCAGCCCGGAGCAGTTTAATCCTTGAAACATTATGCAGAGGATTAATGTGCGATTTCCAGCAACACTCTGCTCCACATTCATATACTTCCCAATCTTCAAATTTGAAGCTCCTAAAAATAACTACAGTCTCATACTGCTGGCCATTGAACAGCTCACTACATCAATTAGAGTTTCAGTGCTTTGCTCAAGAGCACCTCAGCACTATTATTTATTGCACAGGAGGAGTGTACATACAGCATTAACAGTTGAATGAACATAATATACAAATCAAAATGTACCTCAGCAATAAAACTACACTAACTGACTTTTAATCTTATGATTGCTCAATAAAAATGTAGCCTATAAAGCATGCAAGCACGCCCAACACAGCCTGTTTATATGACTGTGTTAGGGCTACAGGCAAACAACACGTCTCGTTCACTGGTGTTGTCACGGACTGCAGTGGCCGTTCAGAGCGTGTCATGACCTCTTAAACTACCCAACTGGAAAAGGGTGACATCATGCACTCTCTCTCACACACACACACACACACACACACACAGGCATGTGTCCACTCTGTACTCCCGCTAAAGTCTAAACACCCACACATACACACACGCTCAAATAATATTTACACGCAAATGCACACATGCAGAGATTTTGAGACACTGCTTTGGTGTGACGACACACAAATCAAAAGCCAAAAAAAGGTCCAATAATGAGACATGACAAAACATAAATTAGTGGCTACTGCATTGTGAAAGGATAAAATTAACCTGTCTTATAAAATAATATGACATACTTTTATCAATGGCCTGATGTCAATTACGTATATAATGGAACAGCATTATAATATTGAGCTACATGTATGTTGGACATATATAGTGTTGCTTTATTCTAATGATAAAGTACAGCTGCAAAGATTAATCGATTAGTTGTTGACTATTAAATTAATACTACTATTAATTATTATGCTACTACTATTATTATTATTATTATTATTATTATTATGCTATTATTTTAAAATTGATTAATCGTTTTGAGTAATTTTTGAAGAAAAAAGTTTTTAAAAATTATCCGATTTCAGCTTCTTAAATGTGAATATTTTCTGGTTTCTCTAGTTGTCTGTGACAGAAAACTGAAAATCGTTGGGTTGTGGACAAAACAAGACATTTGAGGATGTCATCTTGTGCTTTGGGAAACACGGATTAACCTTATTTTTTAGGCCAAACAATTAATCAATAACAGATTAAGTAACAACCCCTAATATATTTATGTAGCATATATATATTAAAAGAATAAAGGTTTTAATGGCAAAACAAGTTCACAGAGAGTGTGGTGGAATGAACTGTAGAACATTGAGTAATAAGCTGTAGAGCTCTGTGTCTGTTTCCCATACAGCCTGAGGTTACAGAGGGGGGCGTGGTGCTCTACCAAAACAACACTTACCCTATAATGGCGGGCGGCTGTCATATTGTTATGACAGCAGCGTGTAGTTTTAATACATTCCGCTCCAAAGAAAATAAAAAAGAGACAGAGATTTTAGCTTTGTTTATGCCGTTCATAACATCTTAGTCCGGATCTACTACATTTCTATTAAACGTAAGTGAATATAACAGGTTATGTTTTCTCAACACGACGTAAATACGTAACAGTTCCGCAGCATCAGGAGAGCAGCCGGTTACAACGTAACAACCAGGTCGCGCGACTAACTGCCCTAGAACGCTGTTGTGGAGCTAGAGGGTTCACGAGCGGGTGAACAAGCGGCGAAAGCAGCAGCCATATCCCGTAGAAACATCGACTGAGCTGGGCTTGAGAGCCTCTAAACTCGATGTAAATCTCGACTATAACGTGCAATTATAAATAATAGTAGTCTGCGGGTCCCTATATAACGTTAAGGGACGCCTTTTTGAGTAGCTAGTCCGAAAACGGGACTGTCCAGACAAATTAGGAGGGAGACAACTGCACGCTCCGGGCCACATGTTCATATCCCAACTGGCTGAGTCCACGATGAGCCAAGTAAATATAAAAGGACCTAACTCTAGGATACTTATAATAAACACAACTCAAACTTTAGGAATTCGCTTCAAGTAAAATGTCTCGAAAGAAAATACCCTATGATGGCCTACCTTTGGGTGGCAACATGACCTCCCCATTTTCCCTCTTCACTGCAGAAGTGTTATTAAATCTGCTGATGTCGTTGTTGTTGTTATTAACATTACTCCCGGGTCCGGAGGTCACCAACAGTTTACGTTTCTTTTTCTCTTCTCCGCCTCCTTTCCCCTTCTCACTCTCTTTCTCCCGCTGTTTATCTTTATTCGGTTTCTTGGGTTTGGAGGATGAAGGCGCTTTGTGGAGGAAGAAATCGCTCTGTTTGAAGACTTTGTGTGTGTTTGTCGGTGGCTGGGATCCACCGGTAGCAGGCACCGGAGGGTTGTTGCCGCTCGTCTTAACCGGGGTGAAGCTCCACAAACCCGCACTACCGCTGCCAGAACTCTGCTGCTTCGTGAGCGGCTGGAGTTTCTCTTTGCCGCTACCGTTGCCTCCCACTCCTCCGTCCCTGCTGAGTTTCTTAGGTTTAACGCTCCTCTCTTCGACTCGGACCTTCTTGGGCGGCGGCGGGTTGAATTCCCGGGAAGACTGAGAGCGGTGTTCGGGGGCTCCCTTCGCCTCGCTCGGCTTGACGAGCGGGCTTTTGACGGAGGCGACCGCCGGGGCTGCCGCAGTAGCAGCAGCAGCATCTCCGGTGAGGTAAACGGAGCCCAGCGAGTCAGCCATCTTGAAGCCTCTCTCTCTATTTACTCTCTTTCCCCAACGGCCGCCGTTGCTGTTTTTTTTTTTTTTTGCTCGACGTGCGGGCAGGCAGTGAAGGGGCGGGGCACGCGTTTGACTGACAGGCAGGCAGGGAGGGATTAAGGCTTGACTGACAGGTAGAGAGGGAAAAACTAGAGGCGGGGCTTAGCTGCTGTATGTACTGTTGTGGTTGACAGTATTGGGTCGTTCATTAATCACTCATTAATCTAATCCAGCACAGACTCTGCCTTAATTTGCACAGCAACTATATATTATTTTCATTATCAAATATTTTGTCGATTATTATTTTGATTAACTGATCCATTTTTATGTCTACAAAATGTCATAAAATGGTGAAAATTGCATGTCACACTCGCTGTATTAGAAATACCCATTCAATTTGAACATGAAGAATGAAGCATTTTTGCTTGATCACTGAGACATGTCCTAAAATGTTTATCAAAGTGAAAGAGGCAAAACTCACAACATGATTTTTTTTTTGTGGTTGTGACTTTGAAAATGCTTATTGTGTCAATCAATCATAGCCACCTGTGTAGAGGTGTTTACTCTTGAGCTGAAATGATTCAATTAATCAGCTGATTGGATGAAAATGATTGCCAACTATTATGATAATCTATTTAAATAGTTTAAATCATTCTTCAATAATAAAATGTTTAATAAATTAACTAAAAATTTAATACATTTCTTTGTCATATATGATAATACATTTATTATCATTGATTGTTGGACTATTTATCTGACAAAACAATATGTTTGAAGACCTCACCTTGGGTTTTTGGAAACAGACTGTTTTCTGACATACAGACCAAAAGATTTTGAGTTACATGACAAACCCATGTTTTGAGTTTCCCCGCTTCATCATAAATCAAAATGTAAGCCAGTTTTATTAAAACATTGCTGATTGGCAGCATCATGAGACACCCACACTGATAGTGGTTTCTGTCCATTACAAAATAGAGCAGACATATTCAAAATATGTAGTTTTATTAGGCTTAGTTTTACATTTGGATTTGAGACCTGACACCTGAACTGTGCAGTCAGAAGAAGTCAAGGCTGAAAATGATCTTGAAGTATATTACCCACACATGGTGAGAGGTGGTGTTTCCTCCAGGGTGTCCAGCCTAAAGGGAAACTTGCCCTCTTTCATCAAATCTTCACAACTACATTTATCACTCTCACAAACAGAACACATCATTTTACAGTGTCATGAATCCTCCGGCGCTGTTTACACTGTGATTTACTAAACATGATTTGCTCAATCTACAACGTAACTACTTTCTCATGTTCTCAAATAACTGGAGTAAAAAGTACAATATTGGCTGCTAAGATACAGTGGAGTAGAAGTAAAATGGAAGTACTAGTGCCTCAAAAGTATATTAAGGACAGTACTTGAGTAAATATAATTAGCTTCTTTCCACCACTGATTAGGACAGACCATAAACATTGTAACAAGATTATTGCATGATGCAAACCAGAAGTGGAAATCTGATGTCTCTGTGTGTTGAAACAGCCCAGAAGAACACCATGAAGTAATTGCGTGTGCAATTGTGTATTTAGAAAGTCAAATGCTTCTACTGTATGTGGCCAATATAAAAATAACCTGGCCGAATACATTGTAGTGTAAATTCTAGGCTTCAAACCAAAGCTGAAACAGTTGTCAGTGTCTTCAGACGGCAGCGCAGCCTGCTGCTACTGCTCACATACACTGAACGACTATATTTATAAGCCATTACATAACATGTTAAACTGCTCCATGGGAAAACTGAGGTGACCCAGTTAAGATAGTAACCTGAAAACACACACACACACACACACACACACACACACACAATAAGTGTGTTAAACAAAGGTTTGTAAGTCAGAAAAGGCCAAGGAGTAAAATAAAAGGGAGGAAGTTAGAAACTTGTGAGACGCCTGTGTAATTAATGTCCTAGATCCTTCCTTATGATGCAGTGTATGTATTTAAAGCGGCTGTGGCGTCAGTAAACTGTAATTCATTTAGTAGTATAAAGAAGTTTTTATCTGATAGAGTAGGCTGTGTAGTTTTTGTCTTTTTCTTAACTGAAAACATGTTAGAAAAATTCATTCTGACAGGAAAAAAGTCTTTTCAGTGATTCATTTGCAAAGTTATTTCCCTGCATGCCTTCTATTTAAAAAAAAGTTCTGTATTAGACTCCACAGGATTGTGAATCAATCAATAAAAAGAAGTGCAGAATGGAGGTGGGAACAGCAGCTGGACTATTTTGGGTCAAAGTTCTGGAAGTCCGGGGTGGATGGCTTAGTTTGACTCCTGATTTAGGTTTCTTAGTGGACAGATACCAAACACATTGAAATTAAATTTTGTTATTATTGTGGGTATGATTTCCGCAATTGGAGCAAACTGATAATCAATCAGTGAATGTGACTGCACTGTATGCATTCACTGGAGCTGTAAAAATGCAAATATAGTAAATCAATATGTATACTTTATTTTCAATATAACCAGAGAGGACTGACATGACTCCACAGACAGAAATGCCTAAAGCACCTCTCATGCAACAGTTACACATTAAGTATTGCAACGTAATGTATAATTAATCTGAAATGAGCATTGGCTACACGTGTGCAGGAGCAAATTATCACAGTATGTCTTCCTACCTGCTGTGTCTCTGTATGTCAAGCGAATACAAATGTGAAACTCTCAAGGTCTCTATCTAAGACAGTGTTTACACCACCTGCGAGGATTAGTTAATCCCCATATTAGCGTGTGTGTATGTATACATTTGTCTCGGCAGATCTTCCAGGTGTGAGCAAGGATCTCCTGCTGTGACCCCCTCCCTCTATATATACACACACACACACACACACACAGTGATTGACATTATCAGATTATATGTGCAGTGCTATCAGCCAGTCGGAAACAATTAAATTATCTTTATCACTTGTGGCTTCAGAGACAAGTCAGAGTGATTTATCAACCAATTAACTGCTCTATATTGTAAATAAAAGCTGACTGTATGCACACACACAGACACACACTCATACAGTCAAACACAACCTGCACACTCATGCAAGTAAAAACAAAGAGGCATGTCCTTTCTTAATGTTCATTTTTACTGATTGATTTCTGCAACATACAAACATTTTGTGTGTGTGTTTATGTGTGAGGGGAGGCACAGAGGGGGGTGGTGGGGGGCTGAATCAGAGTCCCACGGTAGGCAGTGAGCAAACAGCAGCGGATCACATCGCTCACGCCGCAAATGGAGAAGAGGGGAAAAGCAGGCAGGGCAGGCTCTCACTTAAAGGCACAGGTGGGCTCTTTTCTGAGATTGAGGCTAGTATGCATGTGAAAGGGGGCAGGTAGGTGGGTGGGTTTGTGCTGCATAAGCAGAAAGAAAGGAGGATTGGGGAAAGAAATGAGACTTTTCATCAATACGTCTATTAGTCTTTTTTTTTTTTGCATTTAGTTACTTTGAACCATCAACAAGTTAGAGATGCTTTGTTAAAGAGAACTGACCTGTTGGCAACATAGACGCGTTAAAAATGACGGGCTTTTAAAAATGAAATAGGCAGAAATGACAGCGGGAGATTAAACAGAGAAAAAATAGCAGGGGAGGTTTTAAGGAGGCTCCTTGTCCAGAGCAGGAGATCCATCTCTGCTGCATGTTTTACTTTAAAAGAAAAAAAAAATCTGTAAACAATAAAAAATTGGGTAAAAAGTATAACAGAGGTTGAGGGATTACGTGAAAAGAGAAGAGAGAGGGAGAGGTTTGGGTAGGGAGCAGTGGGCTTGTGACGCAACAAACAACCGCGTATACAAAAATAACTTTTAAAATACCATTTACAAAAAAAAACGACCATTATCATTATTATTATCATCATTAATATTATTATTACAATCTTATTCAAAGCCCGGTATAGCTATCTGAAAGGGGGCTTGCTCAATGCTTTTCCTCTGCCAACCAAACAAAACGTTCAAAAAAAAAAAAAAAGTTCAATCTTTTTAAGCATATATTTCCAACATAATAAAAAATAAAACAAACCCTGAAATATTTGCCAGAAGCAAAAACAGAAAAGGGCAGAGGAATAATTTACAGTTTGAAGGGAAACGCTGTGTAGGAGAGGAATCATCATCATCATCATCATCATCATGCACTGACTTTCTTACATCTTCTGTTAATAAGAATATCTAAAGAGATAACAAAACAAATCTCAAATATTATATACCTAAACTGTCCTGTACAGTTCTTTATCTTTAAAAACAATGCATATACTGTATAGTTATGGTAGCTAATGAAGGAGAAGTTAGCAAAGAACAAAATCAAGGAGAAAACAGTAGTCCTGGGTCCCTAGCTGCTTGCATCTTTGTCTCACACACACAGAAGCAGGTACAGTATGATTTTTGGATTTGGCCGTCAGATGAGAAACCATGCTAGTCCTATTTGTAGAGAAGGGTGTTCTGTTTTAGGAAACCCGGCTTTATATTAATCTGTCAAGTCCCGTAAGAGTTTTAAGTGATGTGTAACATTCCTACTCCAAAAACTGAGGTTTATTGTGAGTAAACTGGCTTCTAAAATAAGAACTTGCATGGTTGTTCATCTCAGGGGCTCTGAAGTAGGAGAATGAGAACAGAAACGCAGAGGTACAACGACAGGAAGAGAGCACAGGACAGTGCAGGGGGAAAAATAAATAAAACAGCAAATGTGAGTCCAAAGCAAAGACCAAGAGAAGCCAAATACACAGAGGGTGAAATGAACTGAAGAGAGAAGCCACATTGAGGAGGACTGTGATTGGCTTGTCTTTTCTGAGAGGCGGACTAAGGCAGGCTCATGGTCCCAGCAGTGAGAGCCAGAGTAACAGAGCTGATGAGTTTGGCCATTGCCAGTGTGTTTTGAGGTCATTTTATCTCTGTCATGACAGGAATTAGCAGAGTTCCTGAGCACACAGTTGGGAATTGCGCTGTAAAAGTTGCTTGATACAGGTGATACATTTCTCATAGTTGCTTTTTATTGTGAGAAACTTGAGAAGGGAACGCCACTCATTGGGTTAAACGTTCCGTGATTCAAAGACGTATGCAACAAATCAAGATAAAGTTGAGGGTCATAAGCCCAACTGTTGCTTAATTCAGTCAATCAATAAAATCCTATTACACTGAATTACTAAATTTATTCACTTTTTACTATGCATTCAACAATGCCACGCCACACAAAGATGTCTACATTATTAACATCCACTGCCACAGAATTGGCAGATGTTTAAAAAAAAAAAAAAGGTTTCACATTTTGGAAAAGTATGCTTCTTTGCTTTTTTTCCCCCCAAAGAGTTAGATGGGAAGATTGATACCACTCTCATGTCTATACGGTAAACGTAAAGGCAGAGCTTCAAGTTGGTTAGCTTAGCTTAGCATAAAGACTGGAAACAGACGGGAACAGCTAGCCAGCTCTATTCAGAGGTAATTAGGTCAACCGCCTAACCACACCTCTTCAACTCACCAATTTACACTTTACATTTTATTTGTTTAATCTGTGTGAAAATGCTTATTGGGGGCTAGCTGTTTCCAGTCTTTATGCTAAGCTAACCAGCTTATAGCTCCAGCCCCATGTTTACAACATAGACATGAGAGTGGCAAGAAAAATAAATAAGCATTATTTCCCAAAACGTTGAACATCTTTAACAGCAAAGTCTGAGGCCAAAATGGCTGCTACTGACCACTGCAATGACCAAACTATATCAATATATGACTCTGGTAAACAGGGAGGTCAGCATAGAAATATAAAGCACAAGAGCAGACATTACTGCCGTCTACACAGGAATGAACCCTATGGGAAACCACAACGGAGGTGAGAATCAGGTGAAGGTTGTTAAAAGTCATCTCAAGTGCTTCTGTTTCTATGCCGGTCCTTTGTAATGTAGCACCAGCACACAGAAGGGGGGGGGGAGAGCGCGCACCCTGGCAACCTGTACATACCCAACAGAAGAGGTTACATCATGGGTAACAGATTATCTAGGTTCGCTTTGAAGATTGTTGTTCATTCAGTAGGAGGAAGCAGACACTTCCGGGGGGGTTCAGTTAAACCTCAGGAATCAGCTTCCCACAGTAGCTTTCCTGATTGAAGATAATTCCTGATTTATGATGAAAAAAACGGAAAATGTTCTTCCTGCTAATTTAAGTAGAACACTTATTTATTTAACATGTCACACCTAAATCCATCTTTATTGAGCCCCAGAATGGACACCTTTTCATGATGTGTCTACAGCTCAGAGAGAGAAAAAAGGACCCCTTCTTAATCTCTCAAGTCACCAAGAAACAGGAGGGGGAAATACAGGAATTATCCTTTAACCGTTGACAGGAAAGTAACCAGAGTGATCCCAGGTCAGCGTCTACAGAAGTCAACACCTCTAACACCAGCAAGCCGGACAGGAAAACGTGGGCTTTGTTCTAAAGCCACTTGACCAGTAAGTGTTTTTCTGCTTTGCACAGTGGCACTTTAAAGGAAGGGCTGAGGAGGAGGAGGAGGAGGAGGAGGAGGAGGAGGAGGAGGAGGAGGAGTCAAACTGGAGAAGGTGTTGGCACAGAGTTACACAGAAGGTGTTTCTATGTAAAATTGTGCCGTGTGTTTGTGAAGCATCTATCAACTTGGTTTTTGGACCAGCCAGGTGAGCTCAGTAGAGTCCATCCCCTGAAAAGGGGAGGACACTGTCGGTGGACGGGGCAGATGGACCGTTCCATCATGTCCACTCCATGGGGGGTTCCCGAGGGCCTTTAGGCTGAATGCAGCGGTTACCGAATCCTGACAGAAGAGGCAAAAAAATGTTTTAGCCGGGTTTCTGTTTTTGCTTTAAACTGAATAAAACACATCCAGAAAAGTCTCCCTTCCCGTGTGCCTTTAACGCTTGCCTGGTCTCATAACCAACACATATTTTCTGCACATGCAGCCCAAAGTTAAGCCTCCAATGCCACACAAAAAAACAAACCTGATGACATTAATAGAGGCCTTGTTTGTCAGCAAAGAAAAATCATTACATGTGCAAATAATACGCAACCTCCTTCAGAGGGTTGACTAGTGGAAACATGACAAACAACAGCGTCCAGTCACGAGACAAGAAAAAAAAAGGAAGGTAAACTGACAAAACATGTAAAAGAGATAAGACAGCAGACTTACCCACCCAGGTCTGCCTTGCTGTCTGTTGCTGCAGTGCCAGCAGATGCAGGGTCAGCTGGAGAGGTCTTCTTAACACACTCGGACACATCTAAACAGAGGCAAACACACACACACACACAGATCAATGGAGTGGAAGCATTGTGTGGATATCAGAGGTGGTATAATAGTTTTAGTGATCATTTAAACTGCATACATTTGTTCAATTGTAAACTAACACTTATTTTTATTTTATTATTACCATTTAACTTCAGCCTAGTTTGTACTGAAAATACTGTGCTAGCTCAAAGTAGGGCTGGACGATATAGTCACAAATGTTATCGCAATAAAACATTTCATATCATTCGATATCGATAATTTTCACGATAAATGTCCTTCAAATCATTATTTCTTTCAAGTTTAAATGCTGACTTTTGCTCCTGAGTTAAAGTTTAGGAATCCAGTTGGTTAATTGTGGTTTTAAACTATTCTTTATGGTCAGAACATGACAGACACTTGATGTCAAACAGTAGAGCATTCAAAACAATTAGAATCAAATCTTTTTCAACAAATATGCACAAGTAAAATTAAGTAAAATCTTTTTTCAGTCCCTTATCTTCAACAAAATAAATATCTTGATAGAAAAATTAATTTGTTCTAATTCGTTCGTTCAAACTAGTTCAAATTAATTAAACATTTATTACATTGTTATTGAGGTCAATTATATCGCGATAATTATCATTATTGTTTTATTGCCGGTATATTTGACAGCTGTCAGTTATTTTTGACAGTTTGACACACGTAGGCCTCAGTGTCATTTCAGCTGCATCACACCTTTAGCCGCACGTGCACAAATCAATTTTACAGCAACTGATAAAATATTTCGTCTGCCAAGAAACTTGCATGATCGTAATTATCAGCAGGAGCTTAAATGAACCACAGCCTTTAATTTTTTCTTTATGAATGCTCCTATTGAGTTATATTCATAGCTAGTAAAAAAAATATTTATAGAATTCAACTCCAACATTTATTCCCTTTTCCGATTATTCTGTCTCTGTCACACACACACTCACACACAAGCACCATTAACTACTGAAGCAATAAATTGGCAATAACCATCATCACGCAAAGCTCATAACAGGGATAAGCCCACACACACGTTTTCCATTTCACCTCTCTATAGACATGGTTTATCTTTCCCCCTTTTTCTCTCTCTTTTGGCATCTTTCTCTCTTGCTCTTACAGCTGCCCTTTTGACAAACGCTGTCAGTCTTATCGTGTGCAAGCTAATTTGTAAAACATTGCCCGTCTAGTTCCTGCTCTGCTCTGCCTACTAACTGCTGTGAACACGCATGAACTTGGGACACTGTGTGTGTGTTGTTTATACCTTTATATGAACCGCTCCAGTCAGCTGAGGCTGACCTTGTCACCTCCAGAGGGTCTGACAGAGAGAGCAACAGAGACAGTGAGTTTGAGAACAACTGATGGCAAATTAAGAAAATCTTCAGACATATATATTATACATTAAAGCACAAATCGACTCACATTCCCACACATTCATACACTTTCAAACTCACTATGCTTCACAATATCGTTCGATTTTACTTCCGCATTCAGTCTCCTCCATTAAACCAAGCTTTCCCTCCATTCTTCAGCCTCACAGCGGGGGAGAAAAAAACCTCCGCTCGGGCCAAAAGGTGCACTAAGGCCTTATGCTCACCTGTATTTAGACTGAGCCGGTGCACACAAGTGAGAGTTAGGATCCTTCTTTGATCATAAACAGCAGATGACAATGAGGAGACAGGTTAAGAAATGACATTAAAGCCTCAAGACACTGTCTTTACTTTCTACCGTGTTGCTGTATGCTTAATACATTCCCCTGTCTATATGCATCCATTTCGCAACAGAAGACATCACTCACTACTACTGCTGTGTCCCAATTCCACACTAAATACTAACTATATACAGTGTGTACGGTATACACAAATGTTCTGGTATACTGTTTTGTAAAAGTTTGTAGACAAGAAATCTTACTGTACTGTTTTATACTAGCAGGAAATTATGCAATAAATGCAATGTCGAACTGCGACTTTAGAAGCTCACAGCCTCAACTTTCCTGTGTGAATTGCATTGTGGGAGAACAATGTCCAACAGCACATTCTATTTTATTTATGTAGTATGCATACTGGCCGTTTTGCGTATCCTTTATTTTGCCAGTGTGAGTTAGTATTGTATGTTGCGTGGATTGGGAGGCAGCTTTTGACTGATCCTGGTCACTGAAGGACTGAAATACTGCCGATGGTGCCCCCTAGTGCTGTAAAACTGATAAAGCCTCTCACAAAAAGAAATGTCTGAACTGCTTTTCATCTCACGTGCTCTAATGTGGCTGAATATTTTAATCTCCTCTCTCCTCTTCTGATATCAGAGCTCTACGCAGGAAAAACAGCAGAAGGCAACGAGCCCGGCTGAGTTATATAAGAGACCATCCTGTTACCTGCCGGCCTGATGCCTGCAATTTGTGTGTGTCTCCATGTGTTCGATTGAAGTGAGGATGAGAGAAACTGAGGCCCTACCTGTTCATACATAGTAAAGGAGAAGATAAGAGGAATGGATAAAAAGGAATATAAAAACATATTCCTCTCTTTTCAGCTATCAGAGGCTACTGACTGAAACAAACAACCACTGCTGACAACGCACTGTAGCAGGTCCATCCACCATAAACCGCACCAGACTCGTATCCAGGAGGTGACCCAGTGAATCCACAGCACTGGAAACACACCTGTGAATCTTGACCAATGCGAACGCACCTGTGGCCAGTATGAAGGACTCAGGGGTTCTCGCAGGGAGAGGGGGAGGGGAGTCATCGCTGTCCAAGCAGTCTGGGTTAAAAAGGTCAGAGGTCAAATGAGAAGCAACGTTAATAGTTGGCCCCAGAAGACAGACAAGACATGGGCAGTGAAATGTAAACGATGCAGAGACAAGCGCAAATGCTCAAACTCACGACAAGAGTTTCCTTCTTTAAAGACAGCGGTACACAAGGTGATGGAAAACTGCTGTATTACAAAAACTTATTGTTTTTTATGTTCTATATATTTGTTCTGATTTTTGCTAATTTGTGCCGTTTTCAACAAAAAGGTTAGATATGCTGTATTTTATTCATTAACAATGTTCTGAATATATAGTAAGTTAATGTCAGTATTCACTGCTGTGGCAATATTGTGTCTGAATATGGTCATTCCAATAAAGAATTTGAATTTTAAAATATTCACAACAAGCTTCATTTTCATCATGCTTTTCATTGATTGTGTGGGAACCTCCAAACCCCTAACTGCAGGTATTTAAAAGTATCTATCATGTCATCTGTAACAGTATCTGCTGCAAACACTAAATACTGAGAACCCTATCAATGCTGATATTGATGCTACAAATGTTTAGTTTCAGGGCTATGTCTGACATGTAACCGCTGTCAGGAAGAAAATGTTTATATAATGACAAATAATAATTCCCTTGGGGTGAAAGAACAGGGCTCTAGCATTGCTAATGTCTGGTTAAGGTCTGGCCTGGCAGAGTGAGTTGCAACTAAAATCACTGACATGCTCCAGACATTTCCCAACATTCTCGTGATCTTATCATTTTCTAATTGAGCATTATGGAGCTAAGAAAAGATGATCTTCGTTTTGTGTTCCTTAATATGAGGATATTGACTGGGACTATATGTATTGTGATTAGTGTTTACCATAGAAACTCAATTATCTAACACAACACTGATACCAGACTCGCCTGGAAATTGTAATTTCTGGTTCTCCTTGATAGAAAGCCTCATTTAATCCACTGCCAAGCTTAATGTTGGTAGCAGCAGCACCAATGTTGATTCTGTAAGACTCTGAAAGAAGCCTGACCCCTTAATATTTTTTCCAATTCACCCGGAGGGGGATGCAAAGGAAGGAGGACAGCTGAAATTTCCTCTGAGGCTCTGCTGAAGGATCGAGATACTGGCTTTGAAGAGTTTTTTGCTTTTGACTATAATATTATTATAAAATGTTAGCTTTGTTTCTTTGCAGAGACAATCTACTGACCCTAAATAATGCCTCTTTTGTGGCAAATTTTTTGATCCACAGTCATTGACTCATTCTGTAATGATTGTATCTAATTGGGTGATTTAAATATAGAGGAAGTGCCAGTTTATTAGGTACACCCAGTGTAAATAAGGTCATACACATTCTCTCAAAAACCTAGCTAACACTAATGCCATCTAAACATCCTGCTAAACATCCTCCCTTCATGAAGGTTTTGATGTTCAGTTAATGTGTCAGAGAGGTGTTGATTCAACTTTCTGATCATTTTGGAGTCTGCAGTTTGTTAAGAGGTGTTTCTGTACTTAGCCTAACCTCAATGACAGAAACGGGGAGGGGAAAATAATAGAGACACCTATTAGTATGATGCAATATAATTCAACAGAACCACAAATTGCTGCCTCCAAAATGAAGTTGAATCAACACCTCTTTAAAAGAGTTTCAACAAAAACACAACATGATAATCTTCATGAAGATACAATTTACTACAGGACTGTTGTATTAAGATTAAGCCCAGTTCAGAGCAAAGAAGAGTTTTGGATGGCGGAAAGAGAGGATCGCTTCATCAGTTTGTTTGAAGAACAGCCATGTCTGTATGACACAAACTTTACTTTGTCACATTGCATAACTGCATTGCATGACCCTCTTGTTTTTTTTAATGTTTTTTGCGGTTTTATGAACACTAGAAATGCAACTGTAGCAACTAACTCACTATCTTCATTCATATCTATTATTATCTATACACACTTATCCATGCAGGGTCGTGAGGGGGCTGGAGCCAATCCCAGCTGAACATTAAGCAAGAGACACCCCGGACACGTCGGCAGTTATTAAATTATATCTAGCTACAAAAAGAAAAAAAAGCAGAGAAAGTCGTTGCTATGGAGATAACATACCATCTCCTCTAGTTGCATTGGTGAAAACTGGCAGGTTTCAGAGCAGCGCATTGCAAGTAGTTGCAAATTTCAACTCATCTCACTGTGAATCTCTGGTCTGAACTGGGATTTGGACTACAATAGCTTTGGTTAGGTGTACCTAATAAACTGTAAAGTGAATGAATATCATCCATTTATTTGGCTTTATCTCACCATCACTGTTATTTAAAGGTAAGTGACTCATTCTCATTTTGTACCCTTTCCTACCCCAATGGCTAACGCTTTTTAGAAAACCAATTTTAATCCATGACTAAAAAAAGCCCTAACCGTTTTGAAGTACTCATTTGACGTCGAGTGCTCTTTCTACTGCATTTAAGACTGCCTTAGGTAAGCCCATAAAAACGGCCTAGATTAGCGTAACATTAGTTTTAATGAAGGCCGGAGTTTGATGATAGTTAGTCTTGATTATATTGTTGTCATTCTATGTCTGTAATGTCCAACTTAGCCAGGGCGCCATTGAAAAAAAAAGGTTGCTTAAATAAGGCCTAAACAAAGTTCATCTGCTTTTGTTGTGATGTTGGTTTTCGTTTCAATCAAGAGACACAGAAATGGCCTAACAAGTTTTACCACTATGACCACGGCAGAACTACTAGCAAGTTAATGTGATCAGCTACTAATACGGATTATTAAAGGATCAACTACAGTTATAGAGCACCTTTTGATTGTCATGTTTTAGAACATTGTCCATTTTATTGTTATCCCAGAATGCTAATCTTGTAGCTTTGCATATGTATTCAAACCTTTACCTCAGACTCTGCATGCACTGCTTTGATGTTAAATGTTTACATTTCTTGTGTCTAGTGTCTATTAGTTTGCCGCTGACTGGTGAAGCATTCTGAACTGCAATGAACTAAAATGTGCAACATCAATAATGTTGATTAATTGAAAATGCAATCTACAAAACAAACAGCCACCTTCTTCCGCTTGTCCAACCACAAAGCAGCAAATTTGCTCAATGCAACTCATCAACAAGCAGCCATTGGATTATTGCAACCAAACAAACAGCAGCCATCAGCATTTCAGAACCGATTACAAAGCGCTACCGCAGCCCAAAAAAACAATGTGCCAGAAAGCCAAGCAGACCAAAAGGCAACAGTCCACGTCAGGACTGCATTTTAAATATTGGAAATACTTCAGAGGTGCATGATGTATGATGCCAGGCATTTAGATGGATACCATAACTTTGAATTTCATTTGATGATTTCACAGAAATGTGTTACTAAAACAACTTGTGTGTCTTGAGGTTGTTTGTGTTCCTTAGTTTAAATGAGGATCAATAACAATGCCATGTCAATGTAACTATATATATATATATATATTATATATATATATATATATATATTATATATATATATATATATATATATATATATATATATATATATATATATATATATATATATATATATATATATATATATATATACACACATACACACACATATACACATACACACACAGTGTATTTATTAGGGTAATTGCAAGACATTGCAGTACAAAATTGCCAAATTAGGTTTAAGGTCATGTAGAAAGATTGTCACCATTACATTTGGTTGACCACCAGGCAAGCTGATTTTTTTACAGCTTTTTATATAATGTCCTGCTTGGTATGCATTTTGCAGACAAAAAAATAAAGATCAGAATTGTTGTATGTTGTGTGTTAATGTTCAAAAATCACTATGACAATATATCGTTATCAGGTTTTTTAACTACTTCTATATATAGATATCTTCCAGTTTCAAAAGACTTTATTTATAAGAACATATACTACTTCATTTTACCATCATGCACCCTCACAGTTAAGTCCAAATACTTAAAAATGCAGGTAAGTCTCCTTACACCAAGCTTTGAACCTGTTCAAGATCAAAACCGTCCCAAGCCAAAGTCCAGTTCAAACCATTCAACGTCAGCTCCAATCACAGCAAGAATCAGATCTCAGTGCCCAGATCTCATCGTTTGCAATCACGACAGCGGTGGCCATACCGATGCACAAACAGCGTGACTCTGCTCTGTTCAACCCAACGTGCACAGAGGTGATGAATGTGTACTTATCATGATCATGCAGTGTTGATCCTTCACCATCCAACATGCACCCGCAGCTCTCTCCACACACATAACTGCACCGAAACAATCTCTCGTTCTTTCTCGCAAATTCACTCACTTAGACAAACACACACAAGCTGAAAGAGAGAGAGTAGAGTTGTTTTGACAGATGTTTGCCTGTTAACTTTTGCAGCATTCCTTGCAAACCAACCAATTAGTCATACAGCCATGCTTCATATGAGACAAACTGGAACTAGCTCACTCCGTTTGTTTTCTTCTTTTCCTTCCTTTCTTCCCCATCTCCTGTTTTTCCTCTCTCTCTCTCTCTCTCTGCCTCTGTCTCAACCCAGCAGTAAGACCAGGATAACACAGTGTGTGTGATGATGATGATGATGCGTGTCATTGGCATGTGGTCTGTCTGAGACCTGTCTCCTTACTGACCTGGATAATGATTCTACCATGTGGTTGCCCTGAGCATATGTGTGTGGATAATAAAGACAGGTTGTCAAGTATTACTCTCAGTGCCTTTACCAGAATTTTAGTAAGAAGAACATAACTAGACTCCTCAGAAAAACACTTGAGCTTCAGTGTTGAGTTGAGTAAGTGATGTCTAAACCTGATTTACTAAAACCTTTATGATTGTTAAATGATTCTGTCAGGAAGGCAGTCAGTTAGTTGAAGGAATGAGCAGCTGATTGACATACTTGCTGTGTTTCCAGAGGGTGACGGCGTGCTCTGCCCTGCGATGGACATGGGCGACACCTTCCGGACCGGCTGCTGCTCTCCGTGGTGAGGAGGCGCGGTTACCATGGCCGTCACGGTGGATACATTAGTACGATAAGCTGCCTTTCCTCCGGACATCTCTCCATCCCCCTCCTCATCCGAGTTATCGGAGTGCAAGGGGTTGGTGAAACTCAGGGCAGTCCTAACGGGAGTGGATGAGGAGGAGGAAGAGGAGGAGGAGAGGTGGGAGGAAGAGGAGGAGGAGGAGGGAGCGACACGGTCTGAGGAGGAAGACGACGAGGAGGTTTTGGGGAACAGTCTTTCCGGGCTGCCGCAGGGCTGAGCCCACGCCGCGTGGCCGGCCTTCACCTCCGCCCGCTCTCCTCCCTGCGGCTCCCCCTTCTCGCTCTTCACAGGGAGGTGGTTCGGTCTGGCTAGGACGCCTCCGTCTATGTGACTCTCCCCACATCCGCCTGCTCCTCCCTCCGTGCCCGAGTCCTCTGACAGTGAGGAGCTAGATGTCAGCAGGGATTGGCCAGTGCGGGCTTTGAAGGCGTGGCTTCTATGCAGCATTGCTGCGCTGTTGGTTGTTCCGCTGCCTATTCCAGCTGCTACTCCGATGGAGGAGGAAGTGTCAAAACTACGTGGTCCTTCCTGTAGCGGCACCTTTTTAATCTCAATGCTCAGCTTCCTCTCGATCCGAGGAGCACCAGAACATTCAACGGCTGGGGAGAGGGGCGAGGAGGACGTCTGGCCTTGGCCCGATTCGGGTTTTGTCGATGAAGACAATTTGTTGTTATAGTTGTCATTGAGATCTAGATTTGAGACCTGAGTCTGCCGTTTTTGACTTAGTAGATCTTGGTCTTTCTGCTCTGTGTAACTTGTCTGCTTGTTTGGACTGGGTTCTGACTGGTTCTGATGCTTATCCACTTCTTTATTCTGAAAGGAAAGAGAAAAGATGAGGCATTTAAGAACCTTTTGCAAATGCAGAATTACCAACAAAACAACAGATATCTTGTGTTGGGGCATGTCTGGCTAGTAGCACACAGTGCACACAGTGCCAGCAAACCAATTTTAATATTTTATTCTAAAATGTGAACAGGGCAAGTCCTCTCAATTCAAACTCATTTTTACTGGTAAAAAACACCTACCATGTTTTTAGTAATTGCCCACAAAAGAAGACAAACAATATATAATATTGTGCCTAACAGAAAAAACACTCAGATCCAAGCATTTCTGGATTAACAGTTCCTTTAAAGCACTATGGTTACATTTAGAGTTGAAACAATTAATTGTTATAATTCTTTTTCCAGCTAAAATGCCAAATTCTCTACATCTAGCTCCTGAATTTGTGAGGATTTGCTTTTTTCTTGTCTTTTGTTTTTGGTGAGTGTCTGTATGATATGGACAAAAGCTATTTAAAAAGAAGGGATGAGCGGCTACCAGTTTAATGATAAATCAATGTAAAATTCCAGATGGCTAGTATTACCGTTACAAATTTATCAGTTATCACAGTGTTTGATTGCTACGTTTTGAAAAACTCAAGGTAAATACTGTTTAGCATCAACTAAAGGTATCAACAGTTTCTCAGGCGCAGGTGCAGCATGCAACGTGGGTTTGTTTTGGGTTAATGAAAACAGAGCGGAAGGCAGTGACAGCACGCTCTGGAGATTTTTTCTGAGGTCTGAAGTGTGGTCGTATTCTGTTTTTTATAGCAGTACCACAACCCACTACTTTATTGCAAATGCAGGGCAAGTTAACTTTTAGTTCAATGTATGATGTAGGGACCGTGGAATGAGGGAACATGTCATGGTTTGTCTGTCTACCTTGCTGATAGCTTGTAAACTGAAACTCTCAGTGTTACCTGCTACTACTAAACTACACTACAAGTTGTTCTGCTGCTGTATGCATCGTGTGTCTGCAGACTATTTGCCCATTGCACATGATAAACATGTTATGTAGTTTAGTCACCCAACAAACATATTTTGTTCTTTTAAAATCCAGCAGTTGTTGAATTGGTTGTAAAAGTGTTGCTCATTTTAATTACTCATTACAATTACTAATTAATCACTGTCTTCCTAAGACTCATCTGTATTTATGTGAGCTGTTCATGGGTGTCTTTGCATATGCTTTGTAACATCTTCAGTGTTAATGGTCTTCATATGTTTACATAAAGTATTGGCTGTTACTATTTAAATTTTTATGCAAACAAAAAGCGCACAGTGCTGCTAATTTTATTTGTGGTTTTCAATATAAAACTTGGTGAAATGATTTCAGTGTATGTATCAGTACTTTTTGAACATTTACAGCACATTTCAACAAAACCGTGATAATACTGATAACCGTGATAATTTTGGTCACCATCATCGTGATGTCAACTTTTCATACCGTTTCATCTGTAAAAAATACCTAAACTTTGGACACTGGGAAACTGTGATAGAAGTGTTTCTCTATTTTAAAAATATTTACGTAAAAACCCTAGTTCAATTAAAAATGCATGTTCCTGTATATGCAAATTCACCTGCGTCTGCGTGGTAGCCAGGACGTGTATGACAGGTTTGGGGTGGTAGCGGTCATTGTCCTGCCGTACATTGGTGACGGTGGGGAAGGCCGAAGGGGGCGATGGGGTCAGAATGGGGGGTACAGGGTGAGGCTCTGGGGGCTGGAGTATCTCCTCTTTTACGTCACCTTCTGCCTGAGAACTAGACAGAGACAGAGACATATAGAGAAGGAGCTCAGTTAATAGGAAAAAAAAGAACCAAAACCATACAAGCTTTTTACTGAATTGATATTACACACCGACAGACAGACAGACTTTTGATGCTCTTTAATAAGACATGTCCATCCCACAGAGCCCACAATGTTACACAGATGCTATAATTAAAACACCAAACTCAAAGCCAAAATTGTATATTCACAGAGAAAGACTGTGAAGGAAAACTCACTCATTCACAAACCAACATATTTTGCTTTTACGTTATAATACAAGACGTCAAATGTTTAGTACAAACCTTGTCTATTTGCTTTAGATAAAAAGAAACAGCTCTGATTGAGCCTTAAAGAAATGTTTTGAGGACTGTGGTTCAGAATGATGAAAAGTTTCATCATCCAGACATTTGGACAGCCATGCTTAAATTATTCGAATTAAGCCAAGATGATGAAACAAACTTACACTAAATTTATTTAATACATGAATGAAACTCAAAGGTAGTTTCTGTTCATGTTGTGAAGCTTAGATTCCGACCACTAGGTGGCAGAATAAAAAAACAAACAAACCAGCAATATGCTCATAGTATGCCTGAGAAAAATGTCCTTTGATTGTAGGTTCCCACTGACAGCTCTCGCCCATATTGTGTGGATTTAAGGTAGACATGATCTGTAGATATTAAAATAATTTGTACAGCAACTTTCACACAAGACATGCAAGTGCTTAACAATGAAGAAATCAGATGCACTGAGTGCTTCACATGAAAACAGGAAGAATGCCATAATTAATGGGATATAAGATGGCCACTTGGTAATAATAATAAAGTTTTAAAAATAGAATACATTAAATTTAGTAAAATACAGCATTTTAAAAGAAGTGCAGCAGTGCAATACAAAGATTTTTCTGCTCCGGTCTGTATCAGGAAAGCCATAGCTGGTGAAGTGAAAAGATATGTTTTAGCTTCCTTTTAAAAATATTTAGCAAGCCATAGATGTTAAGAAAACTGAAACAGACTGCCTTTGTGCTTTGTAATTTATATTTCTGGAACTGCAGTGCAGAGTCAAAGACACATCTCCCAAGGGGCTATTAATTTATTGTATTATTTTCTACTCTATTGTATTCTATTCTTTTCTGTTCGGCAGCATACTAAGGGAAGTGTCGGTCCATGCCAAAGTGGAGGTGTCTTTTCAGCTACCAAAGCTCACAAGAGGTCATCTACCAGCTAGTTTAGTGCATGCTTGTGTTAGTATAGCATAGCATCTACAGTAAGAGTGATTTCTAGTGTACAGTTCTGTGTCTTTTGGTGATGTGCTTCTACACTACTTACAGGATGGCGAGGTTGTGACTGAGCTAGCCACACAGCGATGGAAAGTTAAACATTAAGATATTGTTCCACTCCACATAATATACATTTACATATGCATTGCAAATATATAGACACAGGAACAGCGAAAGGATGTGGTGGTGTGCTAAATCAAGAGCACATGACTGAAGCCAGAGCTAAAAGTAGGATTGCACATGATGCTGTGTGTGTGTGGATTGAAGACATATAGACAGTCAGATACAACGAGGAGTATGCGTATGCATACACACACACACACACACACACACACACACACACGCCTGTTTAATTTATTTATTTAATTTAAATTTTTAATATCTCTTTTTTTCTTCTTTTTTTTTTTAACACAAACACATTGTTGTGTATTTTTGTTTATTTATGATTCTCTATTCTTCGTTTTTCATAGTGATGAAATGAAACGTGGCAAAGGCATGTTGAATGCACTAATAATAGGAAAGCATGACAGGATTAAAACTGAATCATTCCTAAGCTGTTTGACTTAATTGCTAAATACAGTAATGCTAAAATAATAAATTTTGTTATAATACTGAGGAGGGAGGTCAGAGGTCTTCATTGCTGGATAATTGCTGAGATTAAGGTCAAGTCTAGCCAAGCTTTTCTAACCACCAGAATCTAAAGTCATCTCTTATGGCTCACATATTGCTCATTTCTGCCCCCCATGTTAAAACATTATTTAAACAAGAACACTGCTGTTCTTACTCCTTTGGACCTTTCTTTAATATAAACAGAAACTACCCATGAGAAATTTCTTCTTCCGTATCATCTTCCTGGTCCTGAGCAAGGAGGAGATACATTTAATAATAACATACACGATTTCCACCGGTGCCGATTGTTTCCATGGGGATATGAATCTTTCAGATGCCACAAGTTCATTCAAGCTTATATTGTCTCAATAAGATCAGATATGGCTGAAACGATTCCTAGGGGGATGCTGAGCTATTACAGGAGCAGACACTTATAAGTCACAGTAAAGCAAATGAGCCAGAGTCCACAAACAAAAAAGGACACTGAGGTCACAGGCACAAACCCCAGGATATCCACGAAAAGGATTTACATCAAGTGAGTAAGTGAAAAGTACCAGTGCTTAGCTTTCAATGCCAAACCAAAAAAAAATCTGTTTAACTGTAGAAAATGAGCAGACTTCAATGCATGTTGTGCCGTAATATCACTTCCTCATATCTGTACATCAGTGGCCACAACTGACAAAAAACACACATATGTTCAAGTTTCTCTAACTTTTGCCACAAACATCCATATTTCTGCAACACTTAATTTTTAGTTCCCTTTTTAGCATTTATAGGCAGTATATTAAAAAAGTAATAAATGGTTTATAACACACTGAATGTCGTTGTAAGCAGATATGAGTTATTAATGTATTTGTCGACTACTATAACAGGTTCTGTGGGTATCCAAGTGGAGGTGTGTGTAGACAACTAACCATACACTCCCAAATTCTTCCACTTTTGCTGAACATTAAAAACCCCTACAGGTATCCATACTGTAAAGGCATGCTGCTGGTTAACACAGTTAAGAGCTAACCTTGGACCACACAAACCTAAACCTCCTACACACAAACACATGTGTATGCACACAGATGCACGCCTTCACAAGAACTTGAGATTTATGCACTAACGCCACCCACACTCACATAAATGCACAATCACACACGCCAAAAACGCACTGTGCCCTCCACACACGAACTCCAGAGGGAAGGTGCTGCATATATAATCAGAGCTGGTTCCCAGTGGGGCCTGCACGCATTCATTAGAGACGGGACGCGCTAGAAGGGGCCAAAGCTTGAAGAGACGCGTCCTCGTTTCAGGTTGCGCTGAGGATAGATTTGTGCAGACAACCAAGAGAAGTAGCGTACCGCAAACTCAAACCACCCGTGTTAGATGATTATCAATTTGACGTTCTGCAAATCAGAAGACCTAACAATTAAAAAAGGCTAACCACGGCAATGTTGCTACAAAAGACGTGTGCCAGTTCCAACAATAAGGCCTCAAGTGCCTCGGCTGTAGAGCTGCAGCACTCAAAAGACACCTCTAAAATATTGATTTATGAATAGCAATTTTATTTTATTTTCCTTAAAAAGCTTACATCAGTATGTTCTATGATTTTTTTTGTAGGATTTGTAGGGGTTGAAGGACATCCACTGCATTGGGAGAGTATGGTTTGTGTTGTTGACTGACAGGTTAAACCCACCTGTCACACACACTAAATGGTATTCTCTCTCTTTTATTCGACAGCACAACGAGAAATTTGCAAGGAGGATTAAACCTCCAATTTTACTCCTATTTTTTATGCTGTTTGAATGCTTTATTTAGCCCCTCCCTTTTCAACAACTTTGATCAACAAATAAGTACACAAGACAAAAAAACATTAAATGCCACCTTTTGGTACTTGACAGCATGAATGTTGTTCCTCAAAGGTAAGTTGCTTCTGACAAAATGAGCAAATGTAATGTATTGTAATCTAATGACAGTTTTCAATATCTGAGAGAGGGTATGACTTATCAGGGTGTGGCTGTGAATGTGTGTATGTACGTTATAGCCATCACTCAGCATCTATGACCTTGATGCCAGCCTCATTAGAGTTCCTGCAGTTTCTTTCTCTAACACACACACAAACGACAAAAATCCCGCACAAGCACTTACACTACTGACACTGCTGAAGTGACACAAGGGGAGTGTGGCCGGGAGAATGTGGACCATGTTGGTAAAAATAGCTCTGACCATCATTAGAAAACTCCCAGGCTTAAACTAGGCCTTGAGATTTTTTCTTTAGGAAACTGACGGATGACGCAGCAAGCCACGTACGACATAGACACAGCGTGCGATTTAAGAGTGAGATGAGAAGGGAGAGACCCACATATTCCTGACAGTCGGGCTCTGTCCCACTTCCAGGAAGGCTTTCTAGTTTGGCAGCAGTTCAAATTAGTATGTTTTACTTAGAGCAGGAAAGAAACTTTTCAGTAAACAGATCACTTGCAGCTACATCCCAAAATTAGGACCTCTGAAAAATGTTTGCTTTCCCATCAAACCGGCTGGTGCAGTAGACAAATTCAGCACACCAACAGCATGATAATTTTAGCAGTAGGAGAACACAAGAAACGTCATGTTGGCTCCAATAAATTGTTTCTCTAGTGTTACAAAGGTTTAGAATTGGGCGTCAAATTAAAATGAACATTGGTCCAGAGTAACGAACAAAAATATATAAATGAAATCACACAGACAAGCAGATGAGCAAAGGATTCACGCATTCAGTCCTGTCGAACTGGACATTTTAGACAATGCTTCCAGCAGCAGGTAATTAAGTGAAACAGTCTCCTGGCAACAAGACGTCCTCTGTGACATTATAGCAACAGCACTGAGGCAACTCCTTGAGCATCTATGGGGCTTGTTTAAAAAGTTGTACTTATTGCTGCATTAACAGCTTTCTGTGGATAAATAAAAAAAAAAGAGGGACTGAAGATGAACTGGCTGAGAGAAAAGTGGTGCACAAAACCTGCTGGGCACATTAAGTAGAAAAATAAAAAATGAGACGAGAGGGAGGAAAGGGAGCAGTGAGAAGGAGAGAGGGGAGAAGACAGCACGAGAAAGGAATGAGGGGGGGGAGAAAATGCGGAACATTTGCCAAAGAAAGAAAGAGTTATAGGGGAAAACACAGAGAACATGTATGTGTAACAGATACAGAGTGTGTATGTTTGAAACCATATGCCTGAAAGTGTGAAAAGGCGTGCGTTTGTTCTCAAAGTGGCGGAGATGAAAGATATAGAACAGTTCTACATCAACTAGCCCTCGGGTTGTGGCACATGCAACACTTGTGGAGTGTTGCAGAGTATTGTTAAGTGTTGCAAAATTATCTATAAATACAGCTCCTCCTCAGGCCACAACAGCCAAACAGAAGTTAACTTCAGTAAAGTGGGAGTATCTGTGGGCTGACAGGGAACTAATGTGTCAGAAAGCTCTGGGTCGTTTGGGGCGAAAACAACGCCTGCTGCTTCCGTTCGGTCAGTTTAATATGTTTTCATAGTGTGCTTCACACAAACTGTGGAGCTGTGATTTTCTTTTTTTTTTTGTTCATCCTACAAAACACAACACCCACTGTGTTCAGTGACGGACCACTTCACACCTACTGTTCACTTCGGCATGAGCCTGTTCATTCATCTGTGTGGAGGATGAGTGTGGGGTTATTCTACATCCATTTTGCAAGTGACAAGTATCTTGTGATCTTTAATAAAGTTGACGAGAAGAGAGTTGACTAGATTAGCTACTATATCAGCTAATAAGGTAAAAAAGTTGGACTGTCTTACCTGCGTATGCGGGGAGGCTTTGGAGGCGGCGTGTCCCATCTCTCATCATTTGAATGTTGGCCTGCTTTATTTGGACTGCTTTCATCCTGGACAACACACACACACACCCACACACCCACACACACATTTGAGTCTGACTTTGTGCTTGTGTTTTCATATACAAAGAGCCGGGGCTGCTACACTGCTCAGCTCAGCTGCTACGTGAAAAAAGATATTGCAGTATGGAAATGGCAAAGATATGTTTGAGGTTGTTTAGACAGTGTGTCCCGTTGCATAAGTTGTCCCCCAGAGAGCGCTGACAAGTTTGATACAGCTGTAAAACGATGAATGAACGAGCTGCAGCAAGAGTGCTGGTATTTTCAGTCTGAAAGCAGTCCGAATGTCTCAAAACCTTCTTGTGGTTCTGTGTATGTAGGCATGTATAAATAGACGGAAATATGCAGAAAGACTTGTTTCAACCATCTGTATGACTTCACAATACACATACTTTACCTTTGAAATAGCTGTTCACGTTGTAACAGCGATTGTTTTTTATAATTTCTGTTGAAAATATAAAGCAGCTCTTTCTCCAACTACTCTCTACTAACGCTCTTTTGTCTCTGCTACATTTTGAAGAAAGTTGTAACAAAAATTTCTTCACCGAAGGATCAAAATTGCTTCTGCAAGACGCTCTACTCCCAACTATTGTTCGCTCTCTTCCTCTCAGCTGTCGCCTTCCTCCTCCTCCTCCTCCTCTCCTCCCCCATGACTCATTAATCTGACTCACTCTCCACTCTGATAATGAGAAGATGACGAGACAACTTCAGCAGTCATGAACTCAAGACAGAGGGGGCAAATCAGGCTGCTTCAGCCGTATGCGTCTGCACAAGCTACATGAGTCTGCTGGGGAACTAGTGTGATCACATTCACCACACATGATAGATTATATCTCATCTGGCCGTATATGCACAGTATGCCCATGTGTGTTGTGAGTATCATTTGGTAGGAATATTTCCAGCAAACAATGGCGCCTGCGTGACAGCAGAAAAACGTGTGTGGGATGTGTGTATGTGTAGGCTTATTGTTCGTACTGCCATCGAGAGCACCTATGTGGGTGTTTTAGTCACTAACAATGGCTGACTGGACATGAGTCAGTGTGTATGGACTGAGTCAGTACTGTACACTGATAATGTTTTGCTGACCGCGCGCGTGTGCGTGTGTGTGCTTTCTTCAACTTGTAACTTTGTCAGATAATGACATGGTTATAATGAGTAACAACAAACTTGTAACTGGAGTTGTTTTCTTCTACTATACATGCCACCCCTCAATACACACACCTACTCTTAAGAAATGATTAATAGCACTAAGTTGTAAACATGTAGTACAGTTATCTAAACATCTAGCAATGTAAAGGATAGTACAGTACAGTACAGCGGACTAGCTTGTCCCCATTTAAGAGATACTGAAAGATATTCTAGGATTTTAGGTAACAGTTTATAAAGTGTGTCAGCTGAGTCTAATGTAAACGCGTGTTTGTGTGACCGTCTCCTGCAAGGGTCTCACTTTCCCGGATGCGTGTCTATTCTCAGACTCAAAGTGCATTATGGGAGACGGGTGATGTCATCAGAGCTTCCTTAGCAGGAAGTCAATCCTGGATTGCTGCCAATGCACTCTCTCATCGTCTCTCCATGTCCTCTGTGTCTTTAGGTTTGTCAATCTTGCACACTGACCCTTCTTTGCTCTGGCTTTCTGCCTTTTGTCTTGTCATATTTACATAACAGTGTTAGCAGCACTACTAGTTTAACTACATTTTCCAGTAGCGGTGAGGTTGGCATTTTAAAAATCACATAACCTTTACAGTAGAGCTATTTCTTTTTTCACTAAGTAGTGGGGCAACGCAACCAAATGCTACAGCTGGCCGTCTTGTGTTTCAGGAGAGGATCAATCAAGCAGACTGGTATGCCAGAACAGGGCTGACCTACAACCAACTTGTCTCAAAAGAAGCAGGGCGAGAACAGATCTGGTGCCTCGGTCCCTTACTTTAATACAATAATAATGCATTTGTTTGTAATATTAATCAACAGCATAGGCTTTCTGTAACCCTGGATGTGAAGTAGCTTCAGTGTTTTAAGCTACTTTTTCAGGGTAGCCTGTAGTGTTTCTGTAGCTTCATTAGTTCCAATGAAGAGCAGCTTGAAGCTTCACCGACTAGAGTTTCAAAAGTAGATTCCCAGTGATAATGTGTGTTGAAGGATAGGAGCTATGGATCAGTGATCAACTATGGATTTATTATTGTCATCTGTCTGTCACCTGCAATGTTTCAACACCACATAGGATTTTTATTTTTTTTTTTCTAAATTTCTAAATATTTTATATTTGTCATATAAGTAAACTTTTTGGTTTGGTTGTACTTCTAGTGCAATAGGAGGAGGAACAGGGCCAAGTAAGAACACATCGCATATGGTGCATGTGTTTCTTGTTTAATGAAATGTATGGGGTTGATTGTTCTTATGTAGTTTGTATGATGCTTTGGCAACATTGTTCTTACATTCATGCCAATAAAGCTAATTTGAATTGAATTGTTGGTGTGTGTGTGGCTGGGGGCAATGGAGGACAGTGTGAAGTAAATAAGAATGAGGGCGGGGGTGACTGATAGAGCAAAGTTTTTTTTCTAGCTCTTTTAAATAGGTCTGTATTTAGTCTTCTGAGACTACCCAATAGAGGAGAGATTCCTCGCTTTTTGGCACAAACTCTGTGACGCTTTCTTCTTCTTTGTCTGTGTAAAGAGCAACGTTTTCTGACGGCCTCTCGTCCCTCTCCTCTATTCCTTCTACTGTCTCCCTCCCCTGTGACTAATTATTTGTGTTTTCTTTTGCTGCTCCGAGTGTGTTACTCAGCGACATCCTGTCTTTCTTTAACACCAGACAGCATGTGCAGTGTGTATGTGCATGTCATACCATGCCATCGTGGATCTGCGTGTTGGTGCAGCTCTCCAGTTGCTGCAGTTGTTTCTCAAAGAGCTGGGCAATCGCTCGATGAACTAACTCATACTGCTCCTGGAGAGAGAAAGACAAAGAAAGAGAGAGCGAGAAGAAGAGGAAGAAGAAAGAGACATGATGAGGCAGAGAGAGGGAAAAAAGTGTTTGGGTGTAAATGGAGGAGAGGTACGGAGAGGGACAAGAGAGGAAAAACAAAAAAAAAAAGAGTTTCAGGAAATCAATATCAAAGCTAAAACATTATCCATGTTTATACGCAAAAACATCCATTTACAAGGCTATGAAATGCAACCTCTGTGTAAACAATGGAAAGCCCTTCACTGATGCACACTGATTTAATCCAGTTACTTTCTAGCTAGAGCAGTAAGAGTATTGCACCACATTTTCATTGAATTCAAACCCGTGTCATTTAACAGGGCTTAAGTTCCCTCTGAATGTCAGAACATGTGCGTGGGAGGGACACACCATAAATAAGGGACAAAACAGCACAGGGGGCTTTGTTATGCAGAAACACTCATTATTTTGAATGTTGTGCCACCTAGAGAGACAAATATTACTAAATGTAAGTTATATATACAGCTGGGAATTACCTTTCCACTGCATTTAACTCCACCCACACCCATGTCAAAACTGTGGCAAAACAACCTTAACCGGTTACATCTAAAGACGGGAATCTCCGCTAAACAGGCAGAAATCCTTTTTCAACCTGGTGTGTAGCAGGTAAAACAGGAATGAAGAGACCTGGACAAAACACTGCTACAACAGATTAACTGTCACTCAGACAAACTGAACAATATAAAAGGGAATTCCTTAAAACCTTAACACAGTAATAAGATACTAGATATAACTCTAAGGCTTACATCTACACTACTTTCGTTTTAAAGTGCATCACTGTTGCTATGTTTTGGCCTGCCATCCAGACTAAAACGGCGAATCCAACACCTAAACGGAGAAGTTTCAAAATGCTGTCGGCCTCGTTTTCAGTAGCGTATTAGTGCAGACAGGCGAAAACTACTACTGACAGTGCTGTTGTTTTGGTACTGTCCTGTGCAAATAAGACTTTAACACTTGTACTGCCCAAGTCGCCGTATTTTTTCTTTGCAACAACTCTTAATCTGTTTTTCTGCAACTTCACAGTAACACCCATGCGCATCAGCATGTGAGTGCAGGGATTTTCCCAGATCAATCAGACACACAGCAAAAACTTTGAAACTGTCAAAAATGGTCTATTGTGCTTGTATCACACTGCGCATACCTTGGCGGTCTTTTTGACACACTAAAAGTACAATGCGTCAATAAGGTAAACATCCTTTTTAAACGCTGAAAATGAATGAAACATTATGATTGCATCTTTTGCACAATGCAAATAGTTGCAGTATCTGCATTGTCCTTACAGGTTTAGTATTGCCTACTTGCTTCATTTCCAAAACAATTGCAAGCTTTTTTGCAGGAACTAAATGTTTTCAAACATCTAGTTGAGACAATTTCAGCTTGTGGAAATCTATTCATTTGATAACCAGACTAATATCATATGATCTATAATAGTATGTTTAGTATATATGTATATGTATAGTATATGTAATAGTATATTGTACTATACTATACTATAATATCATATAATCCAAGGTCCTTTGTGTGAAGGCTTGGAAAATATGGCTGCAGCAACACTTTTGGATACCTAAATGCATCACTGCAAATTAGGATTTTAATCTTTATTCTACAAATTAACAACTTTGTCTTAAATGTTGCATTTCACTCAGCTTAAACTGACCTCAGAGCAGTATGAATGCAAAGTACTGTCCTGTGTGTAAAAATAAAGACAAATTAAAACTAAAAACAAACCTTGGTCTGAACAGCAGAGTGTCGTTGCGTCCTCATCTCTTGTATCAACCGAAAAACATTAAAATCTTCTGGTATTTTCTTTAAAAGCACACAACACAAAAAAAAGGGTTAATAATCACTTGAATCTTAACATTTAGTGCGTAAAAAGTGTGTGTGTGTGTTTGTATTTGGTATGTTTTAGGTTACGTGTAGGAATGTGCGTGTGTGTTCACATACCCCAGCTTTGAGGAGGTTCCATGTGTAGTCGATAGCACAGATAGCGCCCGTCCTTCCACAGCCTGCACTGTAAAGCCACAGTCATATAAATTAGATTAAACAGACACACACTCTCGAGCTTCCTCAATTACAAACATGAATCTGGTAAAAAAAACATTTTTTTTACTCTTGACGGGAACAGACAAACACTCAATAACATGTTGTGTATGTTTGTGTGCAACGACACCTCAGCCCAGACTGGACGGAGACAGGAGCACCACAAACGCTGAGATTATGTGGCATCATGTCTGACACATAAAATCATAAAACTTTATCTCATGCTGTCAGGGAGCCTCTGCTGCTCTAACAAGCAAAGTATCTAAACACACATACAGTACAGTGCACATCAACCCACACAAGGCATCTTTACAGACACAGCTTTAAGTCCTGCTGTGTAACAGAGGAACCAGGAAATGTCTTCCGGCTGCTCATTATAGCTGATTAAACACACATGGAGACTGTGTGTGTAAATAATCATGCATGTGTGCAGCAAAGAACCCAAATGTCTAGCCTCACGAATCTGTGTTTTCATTCTTGTGAACTACTTCACTTTAACTCAATTCATTTTAAGTTCTCAGTTGGCTGAAAAGGTGCAGTCATCTTTGAGAGCGCTGTGTCATGAATTAATCATTCCCTGGAAAAATTTTAATTCTCAGCCGACAGCAATCTCATTGCTATAGAGTTAATAAGATGGGTTATATCATGACTGCCCCATGATGACATTATCACTAAACATATGTAACAAAGTCTTGACTACATCTATATTTATTCCAGCTGTTCTGTTTTAGCCTTATCGGCAGCATTTAGAGGTCAAGTCAAGTCACCAAATCTACAGCATGTAAGCTAAATTTTAAACCCCAAAATCTAGTGTTTGCCAGGAGTAAATGTGTATTTGTATGTCGTGTATAGCCACTGCTGCAACATTTCTTAGCTGTGTTGAAACTTCATTTCACAACACACAAACCCATGCTGGCCACCTGTTGCACATTCTTACTGCCTCCTCACAGAAAAACCACTGGCAATCTCACAAATCACTCAATTCAGAGCACTAGTAAGATAAAAAGGAGTCTAAATCCAGAATGAGCGAGGCCAGCGTGACCATTTTATGCATATACTGCATACTCCTATGTCATTACTCAATCTTCTCATCTGCAATCAGTCCCTTTCTTTAAATGTTGCCTTAGTTACAATAAGTCCATACATGGGTTGGTTGTGTTGGTGTCTCTGCACTGTAAGTCTATGCTGTACCTACCTGCAGTGCACACATATAGGGACATCATCATTCTCTTGGTATTCTCTCATTAGAGCGATCATATCCAGTATGGAGTCAAACGATGAGGGGACGTCGTGATCCGGCCAGTTCATATAATGGAACTGTGTTATCCTCCGAGTTTCCTGCGGGAAAACATACGGGGGAATTTTTTATATATTTTTTTAAAGGTGGAAGTGCGATGGAAGTTATGTGTCAAATCGAATCACAAGGCTGGGAAGAGAAAGTGAATGTGTGGGCGATATTCAGTTGTACACTGATAAAGGTTGTGTCTCCCAAATTCTCCTTAGAAATATAAAAAAAATGCTATTTAAGAGATTATATATATAGTATTGCAGTGGAACAAAATATCACTGCTTTGAACATCAATTTGATTATTTTTTTGTCATTTTGCTAGGGCTGGGCAAGTTAGCATTATTAACGCATTAATTATTTAACAACAATTATTTTATCTCACATTAACGCAGCTTTTATTATTATTATTATTTTGAAAGTCTGTTGCTCACTGGCTCTGAACACACATACAATCAAACCATGGGTCACAGGATAGGTGGGATGTTGATCAGCCTGCAAATCACCCACCCAAAGAAGCAGCGGAGGGAGGCTTCGGCAGACTACATTGGATGCAGCGTGTGGGAGAAGTACATAAACAAATGCAAGACAAGCGAACATTAATATAATTATATATTTATTATAGGCTACATAATTTTGCCTGATAGGCCTTCATCTAGTTTTGCGGGGTGCTCTGCCATGCAAATTCCCTCCAGTTGATGTCCTATTTAGTAAACAGTAATAGATTTTGAAAACTCACAAACAGCGAAAGCTCAAGACAATTCAACTTCGGCAGCGGGTGAGCTTGTGTATGAGGCGACCATTTCACCACACTCGAACAGGGACACTTACTACTGAACATAGACTGTTTATGCTGCTTCCTGATAAAAAAAAAAAAGGTTCTGCTGATACTTGTTCAGAAAAAAGAAGAAAACTGGACTCTGATGGTAACTTGTTTTAACAAGCTAGATAAAAGTTAATGCCTTTTAATCGCAACAAAATCATACGATTAATCGCGATGAAAAATATTAACCGTTGCCCAGCACTAGATTTTGCATATTGCCATTGTGTGAGACATATCAATATCAGAAAAATACCACTAATATTAATATTGCCTTACTGATTTGAAGAAGTTGTTGAAATTGTTTTAAGAAAGCTAAAATGAGTTGATACAACTAAAGTCTAAAGTACAGCAATATGCCAGAGAACTTACATTCTCATATTGCACCGTCAAAGTCCTGATAAAGTAGTCTGTTCTGGCCTGCTCAGATTCCTAGGAAAAGAGAGAGGGAGAACATTTACACAATCCTGGACTAAAACAGTCGTTAGAACAAAATGTGAGAAATGCACGAGTCCAACAAAGTCCCCCCCATCACACACACAGCTGTGATATTAGGGATTTGTCTACTTACACAGGAGATTCTGAAAGGGCCAAAACTCATGGGCTGCTCCCCGTGCATCGGGAAATACCGCTCACACTTTTTCTAAGCAGAGAAGAACGGGAGTTAGCTTTGGTTGAGATAAAAAAAACACACAAAGACCATAGATTCCTGCGCACACACACACTTTTGCCTTGAAATAAGCAATTAAGGTGATGTGTGGAGCACTGACAGTGAAATTTACAACAAAAGATGAATATATATAAATTTAATACTTATACTTATTTATAGACGCACATCCAAGTTTTCTGAAGTATCAGTCACACTTAATTATTACTTAAATCTTGACCTAAAACAGTAACAAGCTCGTATCAATGCAAATATACTCAAGGCTTTAGTAACTGCCTTTTTGTGACGTCTCTCTTCTCACAAACACAAATATATAAACACACTCAAGCAAGGCATGAAAAACTCCAGTGTTTTTTTTCAGTTAGGCAAACCTATGGGACCAAAAACATACTGTAAACATACATCCTTGGTGGAGATAATAAAACACATACATGTGTACAGACATGTGAGCATAAGTCCACTTTGCATGCCTGCACTGACACAAAGACACGAACACACAAAAGAGGATTAAATATCACAGCCTTACCCTTCCCATCTCAAACTCTCGACAAGCCATCACAATAACCTGTGGAGACACAAACAGAAATAAACATTTACATGCAGCCTCTCACAGCTTACATTTCCAGAAATATCCATCGCTATATGTTCTATTTATGTAATGCTGTAGTTGCCAAAATGAGGTCCTAAAGCACAGAGGAGAACCCTGCAGAAAACTTTCTATATTTTCCATTCCTACTGTAGTCAGTCATTTTTTGATCATACGTCTCACTCTTACATTGATATCTCCCATCAATTCTCTTTGATCCTACAAGAGTAATTATCACAGCTGCAATATCGAGCTTTCCAGAGTGCTAGTTAAACCTAATCACAGCTCTTTCTCTCTCCCCTTCATATCGGTCCATCTGGTTCAAGCATAAGCACTCCTCGTCTGCCTCTTAATTCCTGACAAACATATTAAATATTTCTTTGAATAACTTTAATTATTACACCCACTGTCATTTAAAAAAAAAAAAGCTAATGGCTTTCTGTTGCTATTCAAGCTGACAGAGGGGCACCTCTTGCAGTATATCCCTTTTTACTCTCCCTCCTTTTCACCACCCAATGAGCCACACTCACAGCTACATTGTACTCCCAGTTCATCCTCCAGAAGTCCACGACAGTGTTCGGCAAGGGGCCCTGAGTAGCAATGTAGGCCTCTGGGCCATCTATACCCTGCATGGACAGATGGGGTGAAAGTGAGAGAAAGCAACATCACAAATCCACACAGTTTAAAAAATATATATTATCTCTAAAGGCACTTTATATGTATGCACAATGGACGGTAGTGTGATACAGATGTCACTTTACACACTGTAAATCTTCCTAACACTACAATCAAACCATATACTGTAAAACAACAAAGCAAAATACTTGGATTTGCTTTTTACCTTGATGAAGTTAGCATTGACGTAATCTGTGTCTTGGTTGCTTGTTTTTAACGTCAGCTTCACCCTGCTATGATCAACTGGGGGGTGGGGGGTAGAGACATATTTACTTTGATGCATTTGAAATATTTTTAAAACAGAAAGGGCAAAGAGCGGTGGGAAAAAACGAATGGGAAATACTGAGAGACAAAGACAGGACAGACGAGGACAAACTAGAGTGAAATGGGATGTGCAGAGGTTAATGGAAACGCAGCATGCAGCAGTACCCTCATTCCTAAGTATGTGTATGTGTGCATTTGTTACGGATGAACCGGCTCTTCCTTTGCCTTATCAACAGCTCATTCACTAAAAGCCTTAATGAATGAATGGATAGATTGAGGGACAGAGGAGAAAAAGAGGATAAAAGGTATAAAAAAATAAAGTAGGACAGATGTTGATGTTGGGTCATGGAAGCTTCCCCTGAGGTCATTAAGTACAGCGAGAGTGTATAGTGTGTGTATGTGAGACCATTACATGACCGATTAGAACTTACTGGATATCTGTGTTTGTTCTAAATATATGCGTGTACAACACATAGTACTGACGATGCTGGTATTTGACATTAAAATTGAAGACATAAATAGATGATATTTTAAATGCTGCTTTCATGCAGGACACAAGCTTTCTTACAGATTATATTGTCAGACATTGTGCTTGCATGTACATGTATGGGAGCACATAAAGGTTATCACTGTGAATCAGTGTTGAACTATGTGTGTTGATAGGCTTAGAAGAAATACTACTAATGTGAGTTCTAGTGGCCAATATGTACACCCAGTTGCCAGTTTGTTTGTTTTTTGGTAAACCTAGTTAAAACTATTACAGTGTAATACATGAGTACAGCAATGAAACCTACCTTCATAAAGGTTGTAATGTTCAGCCTGTTGAATCTATTTTTGAGAGCTTTTAGCATATTAATAGACTAAATATTAGAAATACCTCTTAGAGTAATGCAATTCAACTAGGGTTGGGCTAATAGACGATGACATCATCAATCAGCGATGGTTGACAGAAATCACGACGTTGAACCGGCATCGTGATTGTAAACCCCCCCCGCAAAACAAATCTGAAATTTTCACATTGTACTACCCTGTGAAAACAGGTTTTAATGACCACGAGCATTGTTATTATTTGAATTTCTAAACATAAACTTGTAACTTAAGTTAACAGTCTAACAATTTTTTTTTTTACCGAGTGAGTCTGTGCGAGAACACATGGACATCAGACGACTGCTGCCACCCCACGCGCGTGCGCGATGACATCGTCTATCCCGATGTTTCATTGTAGACATCGCCCAACCCTAAATACAACTCAAGAGCACCACAAACTACAGCCTCCAAAATGAACACAGTCGACACCTCTTTAAAACAGCTGAATCATGCAAGGTTGTTGTACTCAATATTATTAGTTTAAGCTAAGTATATCTAATATACTGGCAAGTGAGTGTATTCTTTTGCCTGGAGCTTCAAATGAATGAAAGAGTTTTAGCCTCAAATTTAAATAGCAAATCCAGTAAGAGCGTAATTTAATCTGGAATCTATGACATAAAGTATGTCATCGTCAGCATAAAAAAACATTCCCTGTTTTTTTGCACCAAAAGTTTAGACAGATTAGTATTTACAGTATATTTATGCTATTAGATACTGCTGTGTTTGGTAGATTAAAATGTCTGCTTTGAGGAAGGTCCATTCATCTGTGCATTAGTTGGTGTACTGCAACTTACATGGCAGAATATCTTTATATCTGTTTTTCTTGACATTCTCCTCCTTCTCGCCTACGTTGGTGGGGTAGATCCTCTCCGTCCGGTATTTAGTTGATAACCGTCGTAAACGCTAAAATAAACAACAACAACAGAAATGTTAACGTTTATGATTTGTAAGTATAAATGTACCTACAAACAGGAGCAAATCAACAAGGGTAACACTCATGATGGGAGTACTTTTCTTTGACAGCACACAGGAAAGAGATAAATTATATTAGGTAAAGGTCAACCCGTGATACAAGCCAGACATAAGTCAGTCTGTATCCGTGTTATCACACCATTAGAAGTACAAAGAAAGCTACAGAGATTCAGTGAGCAGTAATAAAAGTGTTGGAAATAAAACTTAAATCTGTGGTGTTTCTACAAACAGAAAACTATTAATCATGCTCCTGACACACACACACACACACACCATCTTTCTACCCTCATACTGCTACTAATACCACAGCATCTGACTCACACACACACACACTCCTGTGTGCAGGAAGTTAAGTGTGGCCAAATCTAATAGTAGCTGACACTGATGAAGACACATTCAGTTAATGGGAAGAGAGCAATTACAACATCTCTTGTTTGACAGCAGGCTGAAGCTCTGCGAGCAGTCCAGCACACTGTGTGACGACCCTGTGCGAAACTGAGTGTTTAAACATTAGAGAGCTGATTTTTAATGAGACAAAAGAGATGTGTTATTCAGTACTGATTTGACTACACTGGACTTTCTGAAACTTTCAGTAAATTCTATTCACTGTGGCCTCGAGTGTCACAGTGAAACTGTAAAAAAAACAAACCAATTTCAACAGAACAGCAAGACTTTTGTACTGTAAAAAACTGCTGCTTGACTTTGATAGTGCTCACGTGATATCGGTATCAGGGGCCTTTTTTTATTCTCTCACTTTCCTCTCTCTTTCTTAGACAGTGAGGAAATAAGGCATTAGGCTCCTCCACTTTTTCTGCCTGCCTGCCTCTCTCTCTCTCTCTCTCTGTCTCTGACTCTGAGAAAGTCAGCGTAGGCGTTTGGGCTGCTGGAGCCTCGTGCGAAAAATGGTCCTGCCTCATCTTTCTCTCACTCCTCTCTGGCACTGAATGCGGGCTTTCCTCGCGTTACTGTGACAGGGACACAGACTGTACATCCGGATTTACTGAGACTCTCAGTCCTCAAGACATTTCTTCCTGTCCCTGTTCCTCTGTTCACTTTTGTCATAACATGACTTCCGTGCTACTGTGGAGACATTTACCACAACACACAGACACCCACCAAGAGACACAATTTGATATCAACAACAATATTGCACGCTTTAGGGCATCTGTCCTATTTAGTTACAGTTTGGTTTGTAGTACATGAGGCTTTCTGTATATCTTTAATGCATAATATGTTCATCTCGATGTATATCTACAGAATTACAAACATTTCAAAAGAGACCATTTCCAGAAAGGCTAAAGAAAACTGAAACTGACAGGTGAATCTCTCTCTCCCACCACAACTTTCAACTTCTGTCTATTTTTTTTCTTCCTGAAAGTTGTCTTTTTGATACAGGGCTTCGTTAGTTTCATAAAAATGCTGCGCTCACACTACTGACACGCACACACACACAAACAGTTGAGACTCGTGGCGCAGAGGCACCCTAAAGACATAATGAGTTTTTCACTTTTCATTTTGCATCACTCATCTTTTTAAACCACAAGGACAGACTATCAGAAACTGCGGGAGAGGGAACAAGGGAGAGAAAAGGAGTTTGAGAGGAAGAGACGTACACAAAGAGTCTGTGGGCGGCAACACAGCTGTGTGTGTGCGTGTTTGTGTGTGTGGTAATAACATTAGAGATCCTCTGGCCTCATGTGAATTACATTTCCAACAGAGGTCTGCTTCTGTACTGGGCCAGAGCCCCGGGAAGACGCACACAAACACACACATAAACACATTGGTACACAAACTCAAACATCGAGCAGAGAAGGCCGGCTATAGTGATTTGTGATGGTTTGTGACTCCCCCAACCCAAACACATTATGTTGAGACAAACATGCACACAATTGTGGCCTCTAACACTGTAATGGTGATGAGTATTTTTCCTTTGTAGACCATTTCATTTCTTTTACAGCCAGCTGGGGAAGTACGAGTCGATTCTTCCGTTAAAATACATTTTGCAGCATCTGATCAATGATTTGTTTTAGCTCTGTGTTGCTAGTTTGAATCTATGCATGATAGATAATGTCAGCTAGTATTTAAGAAAAGATTGTATGTTTCCACAAGGTCTCAGCTTGTATAATTATGAGGCCTAATTTCTGCTTTAAGGTCTGACCTGGCCAACTTTCCCAGATGAATTTGTTTACTTGAAAGCTTGTTTCTGTCAACTGGCTTCTGCTGTTTGAATCTTGTTTACACACAGTTCAATAACAAATTATACAAAATAATACTTGTCCTTGTGGTTTAACTATGAATAAATGCATTTGTATGATGGGAGTGGTGCCATACCACGTTACTTTTGTACTAGAGAAGAACAGGTATCAGGAGCTGGAAGAAAAAAAATATTTCTTAGATGCATCGCGATTCCGACATGGACAATTCTGAATCGATTTACAAATTGATTTTCTAAATGTTAACCGATAACGTAATGTTGACGAAACGCAAATGGTGGAACTTGAAGTACAGTGTCCAACAGTCTGTGGTGTGCAAATAACAGAGATGTATTCCCCTATATTCGGTGCACCGCCGCTGCTACTAAAATTTCACACGATCATTAGTATCGATGCGCAACTAATAATTTTCACTCACACACTGTGCGAGCACGGTAACACTCAACTTCCTCTCCTCATTCTTTAGGAGGACAACTACGTGACATCTGTTGTTATAAGCGCAGCATAAGTTAGGTCTTAGGAACAGAGCAGAGTTTTTGTAGCAAGTGCGTGGGTAAGCAAAAGAGAGGGAGAGAGCGAGCAGTAGAAAGTGACAGTGAAAGTTAGCGGAGCAGAGGAAAGGATGGTGACCTGGGAGGAGCTGATGTTAGTAAAGCAAATTAGGGATGCCTTTTAAGCTAATGTATCTTTTGAATTTTATTGTGTAAATCAAATAACTGGTAATGCCAGAAATCCTGTATAGAAAAAAAGATGCATCAAGAATCGTTTTATAATCGTATCACAGCCCTCTGAATGGTAATCGAATAAAATCATGAGGTGCCTAGAGATTCCCACCCCTAACAGGTATATAGAAATACTGTCAGATTGATTGTTGACTGATATTAACTTTAAAAAGCCATATTGGAATCAAGTTATAGATGCTTCTGCTACTGATACCATATTTTACTGATTGCATGAAGAAGCATTTTGTAAAATATTTTTAGGGGTTTGTCGCTTACAACAATGGTCAAATATACAATGCTGCTTAAAAACTAAAATTGTGCAATGCCTGGTGTGTTCTGCACCTCCATTTGTACTTGAGCAAAACTGCATATGGAATCAGTTGACACAAATTAGATCAGATTAATATTCGTTATAAAATTAATACATCCGGGCAACAAACAGTTTCCATACAAGCAAGTTGTATACAAACATCTTAAGCATGCAATTTTAAGCATTGCATAATTAAATGCAGACCGTGTGTGTTTTTTTCATCACCTTAAATGAGATCAAGAGGTGTCAGACTTACACTATAATATTACAAATATGGAAACTTCTGAGAGGCTGTAGTGAACAGATATTTTACAGACGGCATTTTAAAATGTCCATAAACACGCTTTAGCTACTGCGTACAGTCGAATTCAACCATTCAGCCTGATGAATGGTTGAATTTGTGCAGTTTCATTGTTGATAGCAAAATAGCATATAAAAGCAAAGTGTATTCAAATTTCAGCTTTTATAATGTGATACATCCTTACAAAAAAAAAAACTTGGACGGAGACCCAGCTACTGTCTGTCTCGCCCGTCTTTTCTTTACTTTCCATTGTCCCACAGACAGGCCCTGTTTCTAATTACTCGTACTTCCCCTCTTACATAAAACACATAATCAAAAAGACTCATACGTGTACAAATGCATGTACAAGTATGTGTGTTTACACCCACGAATAATGGGTAATGCCGGAGGATGTAAGAGAAATACAACAGAGTGAGAGTCCTTGCCTGCTGCTCTGTAGCTTTACTAAACAACCTGGCATGAGAGGAGAGGAGATGTGGGTGTAGAACAACAGGGAGAAATAAGTGATTTAGAGAAAGAGAAGGGAAAAGCAAACTGGGGTGAAAAGGGAGAGAAAAAAGGAGAGTGCAGGAAAGAGGCAAGGCTTTTAAGATGCTCTTGGTAACCAATCTAATGGGTTCCTTTATTGCTTGTTTCTGTCATCCATTCACACAATCCCTTTACACACTGGCTTCGCACTAACTTCTATCTTTAATGGGAGGAGGGGGCTGCAGAGAGAGGGCAGAGAAAAGGAAGGTTCTATTACTACTCAGGTGTCCTCCTCTTTTCAATCCTTATTTGTGACACAACAGTTTGTGGTGTATCCATTTCTCCAAAGGGACAAGTGGTGGAGCAACCCTGAAAGGGAACAAAACAAAACCGCAAGACTTAAAGAAAAGGAGAAGGAGAAAGAGAAAGAGTTGAAACAATGAGTCGATTAGTTGACTGAAAAATGAATAATTTTTTAAAGCTAAGCTGCTAATATTTGGCAGCTGTAGCTTGTCAAATAAGTGGATTTGAGGCTTTTTTCTATTCATTCATAGTAAACTGAATATCTATGACTTTTTCGACTAGGATAAAACAAGCAATTTCAATACATCACCTGTGGGAAAATGCAACTCTGGTTGTTCACCATTTTGATTCAACCAATTAATGAATCGAGAATTATTATTTATTATGAATATAATGGTTAGTATTAGCCCTAGAAAAATGCACATCACAATCTGATGTCTTGCTTGTTTTTTTTGACAGACAGGTGAATGTTTTACATTTCTACTTAAAATATGAGTTTGACTGGTGAGCAAAACTGTCATAACTAGGTCTGCAACTTTATCATCATCAATGAATTGGCTTTTATCTTAACGGTTAATCGCTTTTCACAATTTTCCAGAGTGATGTCTTCATAT